ATGGGAGCAGTTTTGGGGTCGACCAGCTCTTCCAGGTGGTTGTTAGGAGCCCTGTTTTATCTGTAGGTTTTCATCAGTTTTTGAACTCCAGTTTTGGAAACTTTACTTACTTTCACTTTCACTTTCTCCTTCATTATGCCTGAGGTTTATCTTATATCTAATCTCCTCACAAATATCTCACGAATAATAGAACTTGTGCTTAAAGCTATTTTGACTGGAAATTAAATAAACAAAGGGTCTCTGACTTTTGCACAGTATCTGATTTCATTTATTAATGTGGACTATTTCTTTCTTTACTTTGTTAATTACAGTTTGCGTAATTAATCCCAGTTGATCTGATCTTCTTTACCTCGTAGATCTTCTTGTACTCCTCCACTGTAATCTCCCGGAACTGTTTCCATAGCGACAAAGCCTGCTCGTCATGCTGCTCCAGCCGTCTGAAAAACTCAGCCGCAGCCAATCGGACGCTCTCATCATGCTCCGCCTCCCGGTTCACCTGGACATACACCTGTAAAACACGTGAATACTTCACTTTGACCTGGACCTCTTTATTGTTCTGTAGCCATAAAACGATTTAAAATGCTGTAAAACAACCTGATAAAGTATGAATTTTAGTAATCTTACAGATATTCTGATGTATTTTTACGCATTAGTATTGTTTTATTTCCAAAACAAACATTTTAAAACTGCACTGTGTCAGTTCAGGGATTTGGAGCCCCCTCTGGTAGAAACTGGCACTGCATGCAAATTGCACAGAATACATTAATACATGCCATTTAATCTATTAATCTTTGTTATTTTCTCAGAGCTGTTGTTGCTTTATTTGATATGTAAAGAATGTGATCAAACAAAGCTGAAAATCTGGACACTTTTATTCAGTTTGTGTCACAAAACTACACCTAAGAACACAATAAATATGATCATAAGTTGCATATAGAGGCAGTGATAAAGCAAAAATGTTACCACTTTTTACAAGATGAAAACTATAAGACATTTTCACAATATAATAATAAGAGTAAAAATAAAAATAATAAAACATTTATTCACCACTTTTCATAGCAGTGGCAGCTCACAGTGTTACAGACAGGTGATAAACCTCAACAGTAATAGAAGACAGAGTATTAATTTAAAATCATATAAGATCAGATTAAACAGATAAACTCCAAAGAGTCGTAGAGTTTTACTGAAGCTCTGAGTTAAAGAGTCGTAGAGTTTAATGAAGCTTCGAGTTAAAGAGTCGTAGAGTTTTACTGAAGCTTCGAGTTAAAGAGTCGTAGAGTTTAATGAAGCTTCGAGTTAAAGAGTCGTAGAGTTTTACTGAAGCTCTGAGTTAAAGAGTCGTAGAGTTTAATGAAGCTTCGAGTTAAAGAGTCGTAGAGTTTTACTGAAGCTCTGAGTTAAAGAGTCGTAGAGTTTTAATGAAGCTCTGAGTAAAAGAGTCGTAGAGTTTAATGAAGCTCTGAGTTAAAGAGTCGTAGAGTTTTAATGAAGCTCTGAGTAAAAGAGTCGTAGAGTTTAATGAAGCTCCGAGTTAAAGAGTCGTAGAGTTTTACTGAAGCTCTGAGTTAAAGAGTCGTAGAGTTTTACTGAAGCTCCGAGTTAAAGAGTCGTAGAGTTTAATGAAGCTCTGAGTTAAAGAGTCGTAGAGTTTTACTGAAGCTCTGAGTAAAAGAGTCGTAGAGTTTAATGAAGCTCTGAGTTAAAGAGTCGTAGAGTTTTAATGAAGCTCTGAGTAAAAGAGTCGTAGAGTTTAATGAAGCTCTGAGTTAAAGAGTCGTAGAGTTTAATGAAGCTCTGAGTTAAAGAGTCGTTGAGTTTTACTGAAGCTCTGAGTTAAAGAGTCGTAGAGTTTTAATGAAGCTCTGAGTTAAAGAGTCGTAGAGTTTTAATGAAGCTCTGAGTTAAAGAGTCGTAGAGTTTTACTGAAGCTCTGAGTTAAAGAGTCGTAGAGTTTAATGAAGCTCTGAGTTAAAGAGTCGTAGAGTTTAATGAAGCTCTGAGTTAAAGAGTCGTAGAGTTTTACTGAAGCTCTGAGTTAAAGAGTCGTAGAGTTTTAATGAAGCTCTGAGTTAAAGAGTCGTAGAGTTTTACTGAAGCTCTGAGTTAAAGAGTCATAGAGTTTTAATGAAGCTCTGAGTTAAAGAGTCGTAGAGTTTAATGAAGCTCTGAGTTAAAGAGTCGTAGAGTTTTAATGAAGCTCCGAGTTAAAGAGTCGTAGAGTTTAATGAAGCTCTGAGTTAAAGAGTCGTAGAGTTTAATGAAGCTCTGAGTTAAAGAGTCGTAGAGTTTTACTGAAGCTCTGAGTTAAAGAGTCGTAGAGTTTTACTGAAGCTCTGAGTTAAAGAGTCGTAGAGTTTAATGAAGCTCTGAGTTAAAGAGTCGTAGAGTTTTAATGAAGCTCTGAGTTAAAGAGTCGTAGAGTTTAATGAAGCTTCGAGTTAAAGAGTTGTAGAGTTTTACTGAAGCTTCGAGTTAAAGAGTCGTAGAGTTTTACTGAAGCTCTGAGTTAAAGAGTCGTAGAGTTTAATGAAGCTCTGAGTTAAAGAGTCGTAGAGTTTTACTGAAGCTCTGAGTTAAAGAGTCGTAGAGTTTTAATGAAGCTCTGAGTTAAAGAGTCGTAGAGTTTAATGAAGCTCTGAGTTAAAGAGTCGTGGAGTTTTACTGAAGCTCTGAGTTAAAGAGTCGTAGAGTTTTAATGAAGCTCTGAGTTAAAGAGTCGTAGAGTTTAATGAAGCTCTGAGTTAAAGAGTCGTAGAGTTTTACTGAAGCTCTGAGTTAAAGAGTCGTAGAGTTTTACTGAAGCTCTGAGTTAAAGAGTCGTAGAGTTTTACTGAAGCTCTGAGTTAAAGAGTCGTAGAGTTTTACTGAAGCTCTGAGTTAAAGAGTCGTAGAGTTTAACGAAGCTCCGAGTTAAAGAGTCGTAGAGTTTAATGAAGCTCTGAGTTAAAGAGTCGTAGAGTTTTACTGAAGCTCTGAGTTAAAGAGTCGTAGAGTTTAATGAAGCTCTGAGTTAAAGAGTCGTAGAGTTCAATGAAGCTCTGAGTTAAAGAGCCGTAGAGTTTAATGAAGCTTCGAGTTAAAGAGTCGTAGAGTTTAATGAAGCTCTGAGTTAAAGAGTCGTAGAGTTTTACTGAAGCTCTGAGTTAAAGAGTCGTAGAGTTTAATGAAGCTCTGAGTTAAAGAGTCGTAGAGTTTAATGAAGCTCTGAGTTAAAGAGTCGTAGAGTTTTACTGAAGCTCTGAGTTAAAGAGTCGTAGAGTTTTACTGAAGCTCTGAGTTAAAGAGCCGTAGAGTTTTACTGAAGCTCTGAGTTAAAGAGTCGTAGAGTTTAATGAAGCTCTGAGTTAAAGAGTCGTAGAGTTTAATGAAGCTCTGAGTTAAAGAGCCGTAGAGTTTTACTGAAGCTCTGAGTTAAAGAGCCGTAGAGTTTTACTGAAGCTCTGAGTTAAAGAGTCGTAGAGTTTAATGAAGCTCTGAGTTAAAGAGTCGTAGAGTTTAATGAAGCTCTGAGTTAAAGAGTCGTAGAGTTTTACTGAAGCTCTGAGTTAAAGAGCCGTAGAGTTTAATGAAGCTCTGAGTTAAAGAGTCGTAGAGTTTAATGAAGCTCCGAGTTAAAGAGCTGAGTTTTCAGATGTTTATTAAAAGTGAGCTCTGAGCTCGACTGTCTAATAAAAGCTGAACTGAGCTCCACAGTTTAGAAGCAGAATAACTGAAAGAGTCTCTCCACGTTTTCTGTGTTTTACTGAAGGAGTTCAGAAGGTCAGAATCTGCAGATCTGAGATCATCAACAGACGTTCAGGAGCTTTAAGGTCATTTAGAGCTTTAAAAACCAGCAGCAGAGCTTTAAACTCTCTCTAACAGATCCAGGCGGTCAGTGCAGGGTGTAACAGGGTGATATGAGTGCTCTGTGTTGGTGCTGTGAGGATCCGTGCTGCTGCGTTCTGTACGGGTTCTAGAGGATGGACTGTTTTCTCCAGTAAGAAGATCATTACAGTGAACAAACGCAGCTACGAGTTTCTCTGCGTCGCTCTGAGAGAGAAAAGCCTGAACTTTAGTGATTTTCTCACAATCATAACTCTGACTGAACTAATCAATAAGCTCTTACTGATCTGAAATGCGCCCCGAATGTAAAGGAGCCTCGTGCTTCTTTTATACACTGATAGGAAACACAGCAGCTGTCAGAACGCTGATACGTTTCACTGTGACGCTCGGTTCCATAGAGTTAAAGACAAAGACCGCTTTTCATCTTTATCTAGGGTGCCAATATTTGTCTGTTACTCTCACTGGTGTATTAGAGTGTGTGTAACCCTTTCACTCACCTCGAACAGGTGCTGCAGTGCATTCTCTCTGAGTTTCTCCTGTGAGCCCAGACGCTGAAACCCCGCCCCCAACAGCCCTAACACACACACACACAGCGATACAAACACACACCACTCAGAATAACATTCATAAGAACATTTAGAACTTACTAGAACTTCAAAAAGGATATTAATTTGATTAGAACCTTAATCTTCAAACAGACAGAGAGCTTCACTCACCGAACTGCATCCCCCAGTCTCCCAGATAATTCACCCGGATCACCTCGTTACCCAGAACCTCCTTCAGGTTGGCAATGAAATTTCCTGCATGATGAAGCAAAATCAAAATCCAAACATGATGCAGATAGAATAAAATCATCAATGAATGAGATCTGACTACAGATCTGAGTGAACGACTCCATATTTGTTTACTGTGCAAAGTGCGACATCTAGTGGCCACTGCAAGAACATCTACTGAAAACTTTAATATGATCCGTTCTCCTAATAGACCACGAATTACACCACAATTCCTGCATAATTAAATGGATAAGATGTAAACAGAGTCATTCAGAGCGGTTCAGAGTGGTTCAGAGTGGTTTGGTGTGAAACGCTCTGTTCTAGATAAACTTACTGAGTCACAACTGTTCACAGTGGTGGTGATAGGAACCAGACGTCCACCTCTAAAAGCTCCCTCACAGAAAGTTCCTACATGAAATGGTTATGAATTCACTGCCTGATGACTGAGACACTGTTTTATGATAGTTTAGAGAACTTAAACTCCATTCATGGTGGAGGGATACATGCAGGGCGCTGTGAGGCAAAATAGTCCCCAAAGAAAACTTATTATTTCAGATTTTCCACTATTTTCCATCATCAACATTCCATATAAACTCAGAAGACTCGTGTAGGTTCACTGGTGGTTCTGGATAGTAAATAAAATGGCTACATGCGTTGTAAACTTGGTGACCTCTGGTTCCTGTCACCACCAACCCACAAAACTTTGAAAAGTTGGTGGAATTCCCCTTTGTTTGACTACTTTATGTGGGCTCACCGATGATGGTGGATCGTAGGTGTCCGGCATGGAACTTCTTGGCGATGTTTGGCGAGCTGTGGGTGAGAGAGTGTTTCAGACAGTCAGCTGAGAGATTCTGGAGAATGTGCTTTGTTTTGTTTGTTTGTTTGTTTGTTTGTTTGTCTGGGCTGAATTATGTTCTGCTCCATCACGGTCATAATTAACACAGGAGGTCTGTCGGTTTCGTCTCCTGTTCTACACTTAAAATAACTACATTTACACCCCACCAACCAGCTCGGCGCTAACCGCACGCCTAAGTCTTCACACTGCTGCCTCAGACTGCGTCGGCGGACACGGCTCAGCCTTCCAGAGATTTTTAGTTTGTGAGAGTCACCTGAACTCCACCAGCGTCCTCCCTCTCTGAAGCCTTCGGAGGAGCTCGCTCTGCACTCCGAAACTCTGCGGCTCGGCGTGAAGCTGCTCCAGCACTTTCTGCAGGAAAGACAGTGCTCAGACTGAACCACTAGATGGCAGTAGTGAGTGGCAGATGGAAGCATATCAGGATTAACACTAAAATGAAAAAGTAATATGCAAAATGGAAATGTATTTGTATGTTTACATTTAAATTTCCCACTCATGCATGAAAGTTTGGGCTCAAAATGAACATTCAAATTCAATAATTCCATTTACATTCGCCGTCTGGTGCCCTAGTGCTGAGATTTCACTCACACGGAGGTTTAGATACTTTATGAGTAGCTGTATTTAAAGTTAAACGTATTTCCAGAACTGCATATTCTGCCTTATGTAATTATACAGTAATGGTGCCAAAAGGATAATTAAACTGTAATTTAACTTACATGCATCTGCACTCTCTAATAATGCCTTTAATCAATAATGCACTAATAACGTAACTAATAATGCACTAATTCTGCGGCAAAATGCTTTTAAAAAATGCATTCGACCAGATCGCATTTTCATTTTCAAGATCTTCCCAACCTGTCAATCATCCCACCAGGGCGGGGCCAACAGCACACTCAGCGGAAAAGGCATTTTCTTACATTGGATCACACTGCCTACTTACATATTACATTTTTTACATACCTTCACTGAGATTACAGACGGTTTCGGTACAAATCACAGTATATAGTGTGTTTATGTATATTTTTGTTAACTAAAACCATTTTAGATGTTTAAATAACCTGTTTTGTAGATTAACAGTGCCGTATTATTCTGGATGTCTCTTCCTTTTTAATAAGAACCACATTTAACAACTGAAGTGCACTCAAAATTTCCTAATTATTGTTTTAATGCTGGGAACATTTTCTGATAAGGACATTCATCTGTTTCTTGTCTGAACTGTCCCGTTCCACCTTAAATGGTGCAGCAGTTACATTCTGGCACTTATACTAATAACTGCTGCACCATTTAAGGTGGAACAGGATAAGCTGGCGGATAAGAAACCGACTTCAGCTTTGCATGTTTAATGCTGGCAGGATTTTTAGACGGTGATTTAAGCTCAATCATATCCTACCTGGAGGTTTTATAAGCGGAGCTGCCTATAAATACACGCTACGGTACGGCATTTCGACAGAGTAGCATGACTCGTCAGAACCCCTGCCAGGCTCCATGCTAGGCTCATGGCTAATGGCTAACCCCAAGAGACTGGCTTTTCTTTCCTGGCCACTGCAAGATCATCAACTTAGAACTTTAATATGATCTGCTGTCCTAAGAGACCATGTATTATTTCAAAATTCTGCATAATTAAGTGGTTAAGGTGTAATCAGAGCGGTTCAGAGCGGTTCAGAGTGGTTTGGTGTGAAACGCTCTGTTCTAGATAAACTTACCGAGTCAGAATCGTTCACAGTGGTGGTGATAGGAACCAGACGTCCCCCTCTAAAAGCTCCCTCACAGAAAGTTCCTACATGAAATGGTTATGAATTCACTGCCTGATGACTGAGACACTGTTTTATGATAGTTTAGAGAACTTAAACTCCATTCATGGCTTTTCTTTCTGCTCTTTTCCCTGTTAACTCATGAACTCCTTACAGTCTGATGTGGCTCCTTTAACAGTAACTGGACTGACTGACCTCAGACTGCAGCTCAGTACATGAGAGGTGAGGGAACCAGCGAGTTCTGACCTGTGTGTCCATCACGTTATCTGGATTTATTTACATACCGGCGTAACAGTAATGACTAAATATATACTTAAACAAAATTCAACCTGTATACTTCGTTCATGTTTGCACACAGCATACACCAAAACTGGTGGTTCTTTAAGGGTTCTTCAGGCAATGGTTTGGTTTAGAACCATGAGTTGTATATGGAACCATTTCATGCTTAAAGGGTTCTCTGGTGAAACTGTTCTTCAGAGTGATGGAGAATGCAATGTATATGGTTACATATAGAACCTTTTTAAAAGTGTCTATATATATATATATATATATATATACACACATACAGCACCAAAAAGGGTTCTGCTATTGTTACAAAGTCAAGCTTGTAAACAATAGAAGAACGCTTTTTGTGCTATGTAGAACCCTTTTCAAAAACAACACATTCTCTAACAGCCTGAAGATCCATTTCAGATTGGTTCTATGTAGAACTCATAGTTCCAAACAGAACCACTGCCTTAACTAAAGAACCCTTGAAGAACCATCTTTAAGTGTGTGGGTTGTGGACGCCTGACGTCTGTTAATCAGAGCTGTAGAAGGTAAGAGCTGAAGTTCCGTCTCTGCAGCACTGAGAACCCTGACAGCGTGAATCCAGACCTCCTGTCTGAGAGTGGAGGACGTTCTCCTCACCTCCGCCAGGAGCCGCTTGTTTATCCTGAAGTTTATGACCCCACGGCTGGAGATGACCTCCTCAACAACACCGTCCACCCTCAGCTACAGCACCCCACACACACACACACACACACACACACACACACAGAAACACACAGAAACACATTATCACTACCATATATATATATATATATAATACTGTGTATATATACACACACATATATATATATATATATATTTATATTTTATTATTATTATTGTTATCATTACTGCAACAACTCCTACCAATTATAAATTAGTCCCATTTCTGCTAATACCAATAATGATATAATCACTATAGTTATTACTGTTTTGTTGTTGTTATTGATGTTATTATTATTATAATTAAAGTAGTAGTAGTACTGCTATTAATACATAATAATTCTAACAATAATAAAAGTTATATTAATAAACACCTAAATTCATACTAATAAATAATCTAAGAGTATAAAATACTCTAAAACTACTACCACTGCTGCTGATAATAAAGGGAAAATATGTATTATTTTTACTGAACAAGTACAGAAACATAATAACTATTATTATTATTACAATTATATGCTCTTAAAATAACTACATTATCATTATTATTGTTATTATTATTATTATTAAGATAACCTCTTTATTAAAGTTCTTCATCCTCACAGCCTGCAAAAGGAAACTGAAGTGATGGTCACCTGTTTGGTCAGTCGCTCCGTCTGAGTCTGCAGGTCAGCGTCTGGCGACAGCGCTCCATTCTTCACCAGAGAGTTTACCGCCAAACGGAGGTCAGGGGTCAACCTGAAAGGGTCACAGATACACAGCACACCGAGAGACGCTCAGCCAGAGACAGACACGCTAGAACCTGCATCGTATTCTAGATAGCAGTGGGCGGCTGTCCATCTGCCCGCCTTCACGATAGAGCTGAACGATTTATCGCTTATATATAGAAATCGCAATTTAACAGAGCGCAAATTTCAAACCACAGGAGCTGCAATTATTAAAAATCATAGCTACATTATCAAAAACACTGTCTGAAGTTTTAAGAGGGGAAATTTAACCTAATAACACAGAGCTGTACACTGTAGAGTCAGACCAATCAGAGGCAGCCAAACCTCCATGTGTTGTGACATCACAACCACAACTTACTGGCGGTCTGGCTCACCACACTCAGGGGTCGAGCCTCAAACAGAAAAAGTGGATATTCTGGTCTTCTTGTTAAAAACAGAAATTTATAGAAAATAATCTTAATTTAAATCACAGTCAGAGTATCAATCAGAAAAATCCCAATCAGATATTTTCCAAAAATCGTCCAGCTCTACTGCTGGAGCCGTATTACAGAACCGTCCTCTCTTTTAGTCCTTACGATCTGACAGCTCAAGATCAGATTTTACGCAGATTCATATTACAGAATCAAATCTGAGTCGATAATCAGCTGTCATGTCTGTTTCCTAGCAACCAACCATAAACACACAGCTGAAACGTAAACACGTCATCAGAATAACGTTAAAATGTGAGTTAAGCTGCTGTTACTGATGTAAAACAGGTCAAACAGAACTAAAGTGTGATAAACTGTAAGTAGAGAATACTGTGAGAGCGCCCCCTGCTGTTTATCAGAGTGTCGCCGCTCCCCAGTTTCAGTCTCCATTTCCCAAACGCTTTAGCGACAATTAAAAAAGAAACAGAGAGATCGGACCAGTCCCATTTCACCCCTCGCCCCACCACTCAGCCCTACCCCCCCACGTTGCGTGATCTCGTCTAGGGGTAGGGTGTCCCGATTGTTGTTAAAATAGAGGGGGGTGAAGTTTTGGGGCTACATGACCCTCCAAACTGAGGTTTTTCAGAGACTCCAAACAGAGAGTTATGAGAAATAGATGGCTGAGCAAGAGACCAGAGAAACCCACAAATATGAGAATTTTCTCTGTTAAAAATGACAGTAACCACTGTATTATCATAGCTTAATGTTGTTCAGTGTATTATGGTCCTTTTCTTCATAACAAGCATATAAATCTCTAGCAGTTCTGACGTCTCCATAGCTAAATATTCCGTTCCACCTTCAATGGCGCAGCAGTTCCATTCTGGCTCCTCAGGCATCAGAACTGCTGCTCCATTTAAGGTGGAACGGGAAAATTTGAAAGAAGCTGGTGAATATCTGCCTTCAGCTTCATATCACTGAAGAATTAGGGGTGGGTGATAATAAATAATTGCCCCCCTCTTTGAAGATCATATGATGCCCTAAATGTAACTAAAGCCCAGCAGTGAGGAGCTGAACTTTACCCTCCTCTGCTGTCACTGCAGACTGGCAGCGTCGCCTACAGAGCAGCGCTGGTAGCTGTTAATGAAGTGATGCTCTTTTTATTTGAGGGTCCCATTTCAGAGGGACGATTTCAACCACTACCCTGTAACTCAGTAACAAGGGGCGACACTCGAAAACAAGGGGCAGGGGTAAAAATGAGAAATGGGACTGGGCCTTGGAAAACAGGTCCTTCAGCCATGTTATGAGTGCTGCATAGCAGTCAACCCGAGTCGAGCAAAGTACTCCACGACACGGATCATCCGCCTCCAGCTGATTCAGGTTGAGTGGGCGGGGCTAAGTGATGCGTAATAGCTCTTATTTCAGGTGATCTGTGCACTTAACTGTTTCTTCGAGACGGGGACGGCAGACAGCAGAGGAACGAACACATCTTCAGGAGCTCCGCAGATCCTGGAGAGCTGAGAGAGAAACAGAGACGAGAGCTTTACCGGACCACCCTGGAAGGAAGCCAGAGACCCTCGGCTGATTATTAGTGCTGTATCGTCACGATCGTCACCTTTTAAAGGAAAATCTACATTCAACTAATTTTCCTCACATGCAGCGACCAGAGAGGACAGATCTCACACACATACTTCACTCCTTCAGTTTTATCAGTGAAGCTGTGAGGCTGATGTTGCTAACAAACACTAACAGTCAATAGTCACCCAAATCTTCTGTCAGCCGGCTCAAACCGCAGCCAGCTGTTCATTAAGGTGGCGCAGACTTGTCAGTGTGGTGGAGGGAAGCGTATTAATACCAACATTACACGGTTTTGTTTACTTCTCATTGGTGCAAATCAGTGCGATTCCCTTTAAATCGTTATTAGTAAACAGTAATGGAAGATCTGGGTGAACACTTATTTGTTAGCAACGTTAGCCTCATAGCTCCAGCGCTAAAGAAGCAAAATTTAATGCTAATAGTTTCTGATTGAAAAATCGAAAGGAAATGAAAAATTGTGTAAATTTGACTTTCTAAATGAAAACATTCCTTTAATGGAAAGAGCCTCGTTTTCCAGCATTTGCTGGTAAAGCTGTTGATTGAGCTGTTGTTGCTCCAATTCACAATAACAGCACTTACGGTTGTCTAGGGTGGATCTAGCAGGGCAGAACTCTCACACACTGATTTTGGCAAAGGTGGCTTCCTATGACAGCGCCATGTTTAAAACCTCTGAGATATTCTACTGCCAGTGTTTGTCTACAGAGACTGTAAGAGCCGTTACTGTGAATTGAAGCAACAACAGCTCAGCCACAAAGCAGTACAGCACAAATACTCTGAGTGCTGAAAAACACTGTCTATCCTCTGTTGAAGCATCACAACAGAGCTCCAACCTGCCTCTGGAAGCAACATCAGCACAAGAACTGTCCAGGAGCTTCATGAAATGGGTCTCCATGGCTGAGCAGCTGCACACAAGCCTAAGTTCACTATGCTCAATGCCAAGTGTCGGCTGGAGGGGTGTAAAGCGCCGCCACTGGACTCTGGAGCAGTGGAACCGTGTTCTCTGGAGTGATGAATCTTCTCTATCTGTCAGTCTGATGATGAATCTGGGTTTGGCGGATGGGGAACTATACCTACCAGAATGCAGAGCCAACAGTAAGGTTTGGTGGAGGAGAGATGATGGGCTGGGCTGTTTTTCAGGGTTTGGGCTCCTCAGTTCCAGTGAAGGGTGATGTTGATGCTGCAGCACAAAGACATTTTACACAGTTATCTGCTTCCAGCTTTGTGTCAGCAGTTTGGGGAAGAGCCTTTCCTGTTCCAGCAGGACTGAGCCCCTGAGCACAAAGCAGCTCCATAAAGACATGGAGTGACCAGTTTGGTGTGGAGGAACTCCAGTGGCCCTCACAGAGCCCTGACCTCAACCCCACTGAACACCTTTGGGGCGAACTAGTACGGAGATTGTGAGGCAGACCCTCTCGTCCAACATCAGTGTCTGACCTCACAAACGCTCTGTTAGGGCATCTTGTGGAAATCTTCCCAGAAGAGTGGAGGCTGTTGTAGCCGCAACTCCATATTAACGCCCATGGTTTTGGAATGGGACGTCCAACATGATCATACAGGTGTGATGGTCAGGTGTCCACATACTTTTGGCCATATAGCTATAGTAGCATATAGCTATACAGTACATTATGAATGATGCTCCTAGTGCCCCAGAGCAAGCTCTACATCCTGACTCCCCCTAAAAACAGGTGAACCCCTTCTTAGCTACACTAGGTCGCTGATTTAGGACGCGGCCCAAACCGCAGAGACGCTCGTGTCTGGTTATTCAGCACCGTTTACCGTCTGTGCGTTAAACTGTCCGCGTGTTCGCGGTGAGTGAGGCGGTTTACCTGCGCTGCGATGCTTCTCCTGAAAAAACACGCCATGAGCTCAAACGAAGCCGCTCAGCCCGCGAACTTCAGCACCGACTCACAGCGAACCCTCCGCCTCTGTGCGGCGCACTGAGGCCGCCGTGAAGCGCAGCGCGGTCAGCGCACCGAGCGCGTTTCAAAATAAAAGTCACTGGAGTTTAGAAAGCTCGTGTTCACCTAAAACGTATGAGGACAAAAATACGTATATTATAACGTATAAAAACTATTCATTAAGCTAATGCTGTAAACACTAGTGACCTTCAGCGTACATGACGTGTCTCTGACTACATTACAATTCTTACATATAAATATAATGCATGTTTTTCTAAACATAAAATGTGAGCTTGGATATTAGAGAAACAATATATTGTGATTAAAATTATTTTGCTGTGTAAAGAGACTTAAGTAAAAAGCAAAATTACAAAAGCACCATTTACTACTGCATTAAATAAAATTAAACATCAATAGGTGCTTAAATAAAAATTGCATTTTTTTTCACTGTAAAGTGCATTTTCTAAAAAAGGCTACAAAAATGAAAAATAAAAAATTATTCCTGTTGACAATCATTGTTGCCTATATGACGACTACAATGGCAGCTTCTCTTTATATTGTATTAGTAATTCACGTTGAATCGAGCAGCACAGACACTTTAAAAGCACTTGGATTAATACTTCTTTACAGTGATTCCCATTAAAAGTGCTCCTGTAGAGTTACTAATTTGGTACATTTTATTTTTAGACAGCGAGAATATTTTTGTCTCTTTATGCCTACAAAACTGAATATATATTAAATCCTTAAATAGCTCCTTATTGTGATGCAGGTTTGTTGTGACAGAGGCTGTTGCTGCTTCACACGTTCAGCAGCACTGAGAACGACGACGACTGAAGTATTTTCACAGGACAGTAGTTCAGGATGGGGTAGATTCTGACATGTTCATGCACACAATTTGTAATTGATGTTTAGTTGGTTTTTTCATTGTGAAAAACATTTTGTAATAACAGAAGCGTCATTTATCACAGAGCTGTTCTGTATGTCATCAAATTGGTTATATACATAAAAATGTGTTAAATACAATACACAGACAGCTGTAACTGATCATGTAAACAATTTATTTGTATATTTTCTCAACATAAAAGTCCAATAAAGTACACAAGCTGTAAAATCATAATGCAGGAGGGGAAAAAAACAATAATCAAAAAAAGATAAGAGATTTCAAACTAATTATGCTGAGTGATTTGTACATGAGAATCCTGAGGAGACCCCAGATGCGTTTTTACAAAGCCAAGAGTTCTCAGAGCTACACGTCCTGCAGTGACCACACGGCCGCCACCACACACACACACACTCACACTCACACCCCCACTCTCTCTCACACACACACATACTCACACACATACTCACACACACACACACACATACACACACTCACACACACACACATACTCACTCACACACACTCACTCACACACACACACACACACACACACACACACACACACACACACACACACACTCACACACACTCACACACACACACACACACACACATACTCACACACACACACACACTCAATCACTCACACAGCGCAATCATGCTACAGTCACTTCACATGAGCAGGTTTTCAAATAAAGAAAAATAAAAAATAAAACCATTGGAGATGAAACCTTGCGTGACGTTATAAAAGGCATCGAGAGGAAAACCTAATAAATATCTGTGATACTGAATGAGTGAAATAACAGAGGCCACAAATCAGCTTTGAAAAAAGGGCGACGTGAGACGGCAGGAAGCACTGCAAACAGCAGGTGGTTGCTGGAGAGAGACAGAGAGAAATACAGAGAGAGGAACAGAGAAAGAGAGCGATACAGAAAGAATAGAGAGAGAGATGCAGACAAAGAAAGATAGTGAGAAAGAGAGAGAGAAGGAAAGAGAAAGGGGGTGAGAGAGAGGGAGAGGGAGAGGGAGAGAGAGAGAGTCATAGAGAGGGGGGAGAGAGAGAGAGTCAGAGAGAGAGAGAGAGAGAGAGAGAGAGAGGTTTAAAATCACAGACAGAGGCCTGAGACACTCCGTGCCCGGTGGGAGTGAAGGGGGCGGGGCTTCACTGACAGCCCAAAACCCCCTCACTGCATCGCCGCGGAAACCGCAGTTACACCCACGGACCAACAGGCCAAAGCAACAGCAACCGGAACCACCGACCCACTCAGGACACGTCTGTGGGGAGAGAGAGAGAGCGAGAGAGAGAGAGAGAGAGAGAGAGAGAGAGCTAGTTTACATTAATGACTCAAATACCTTCTGCTCTACACTCTGAATAAGTTCTTTCACAGTTAAACTACACAGGAGTGTGAGAGTGAGGGAGAGTGGATGGACCTAAAGACCCTGAACGCTAATGAAGTAGTTGGTAGTTTGCAGTTTACTGGAGTTGCCTGGAAGGTCAGTGGAGTCTGGCTGGGTTTAATGGAGGTCAACTGACTTTAATGTGAGCTTAATGGAGTCTGGTTGAGTTTACAGAGGTCAGCTGGAAACTAGTTAAGTTTAATGGAGGTCGATAAAATGTAGTCAAGGCCTTTGGAAATTAGTGTAATTTAATGTGGGTCAACTGGGTTTAGCTGAGTTTAATGGAGGTCAATGGAAACGAGCTGAGTTTATTGGAGCTCAGTTAAGTTTACTGGTGTTTAGTGTGAGTCAAATCACTGGAGGTCAGTTCAGGTCAGTGGAGTTTAATGGAGATGAACAGTGTTAGGCTGAGTTTACTGGAGCTGTAATGGGATTTGGTGTAGTTTTAAGGGGCTGGACTCACAGCTGGCCGGCTGCTCTCCAAACCGCCGCATTAGCTGATCATGAGTGAACTTCACAAAGGCATCGTACTGCTCTGTAGAGGAACAAACACAGATTAATTCATAACAGATACAGAACAATTCATCACAATCAATAATTAACAGTGGATACTGAATAATTACCTGTAAATACTGAGTAATTAAGAGTACATACTGAATAATTATATGGAAACACTGAATAAGTCATAGTAGTTACTGAATAACAGCAGATACTGAAATAAGATACTGAATAATAAGTTTTGAGATTAATAACTACAATAAACATGGGTGTTTTGATGGGTGTGTGTGTGTGCGTGCTGACGTGTGGGGTTTTTGATGGGTTGGTGGGCATACTGACGGGTGGGTGTACTGACGGGTGGGCGTACTGACGGGGGCGTGGTGGCGGGTGGGTGTATTGGCGGGTGTGTGTAGCGATGGGGCGTACTGATAGGTGGACGTATTGGTGGGTGGGTGAGCGTATTGACGGGTGGGTGTACTGATGGGGGGGCGTACTGATTGGTGAGCGTATTGACGGGTGTGTGTAGTGATGGGTGGGTGTACTGACGGGTGGCCGTACCTGCGAGTTTAGTGGTGAGTATCTCGTCGTATTCCTCTCTCACTTTCTCCTCACGCTCCTTCAGCAGCCGCTCGCAGATCATTCCCACCTGTTTCAGAGTGAAGAGCGGCTGCTCTCTCCGGGACGGAGACGAGGACCCAGCAGATAAACCTGCACCACACAAACGCTGTCAGATATGGAACGTGCGTATATTCAGAAACATAATTACAGATCTATAATGGAACCACATTTTCATACATGGTTTTGTTTATGTACCCTGAGTACTTATTAATAGCAAAACTTGTCGCACTCTCTCAAAGCAAAAAGCAAAGCTGTGGAGTACTCCTGGACTAAATTTATTTTTTCAATTTCTCTATAATTAGGTGGTTAAGATGTAATCAGAGTGGTTCAGAGCGGTTCAGAGTGGTTTGGTGTGAAACGCTCCGTTCTAAACTTACCGAGTCAGAACTGTTCACAGTGGTGGTGATAAGAACCAGACGTCCACCTCTAAAAGCTCCCTCACAGAAAGTTCCTACATGAAATGGTTATGAATTCACTGCCTGATGACTGAGACACTGTTTTATGATAGTTTAGAGAACTTAAACTCCATTCATGGTGGAGGGATACATGCAGGGCGCTGTGAGGCAAAATAGTCCCCAAAGAAAACTTATTATTTCAGATTTTCCACTATTTTCCATCATCAACATTCCATATAAACTCAGAAGACTCGTGTAGGTTCACTGGTGGTTCTGGATAGTAAATAAAATGTCTATATCTGTGTTGTAGTCATGGCGACCCCTGGTTCCTATCACCACCACTGTAGAGACATCTGAACCATTTCACACCAAACCACTCTGAATCTCTCTGATTACACCTCACATTTAATTATGGGGGGGATGTAAAAAAAAAAAACTGGTGGAGTTCCCCTTCAGTCCACAAACAGCATAGAGGTGATGTTCTATTTGATGGTCAGTGGTGTTACCGGTCAGTGCGGCGTGTGTGGAGAGGGACGTGCTGGGCTGAGAGTCGAGCGGACAGCAGGAGTCTGAGGGCTGGAAACTCTCCAGGTGTCGCCTCTTCTGCATCCGTTTATACTCCTGCTTTATGTTGAACAGGATTTGTTCTGCGGGAGACAAAAACAACCACACAGCTCAAACACGGCTCACAAACAGCCCTGAGAAGCTTAAGACCATAAACAGACTCAGCGCACGTTCACAAACACAGACGACAGAGCTCGGCCAACACACTGCAAACACTCGGCCCTTCTGTACTGTGTTATTTTCATTATTATGGATAAAATGACTGCAATAAACAGTGATGGGTGGGCGAACTTTCTTATCCTCAAGGAGAAAAACACATTTATTTGCGATTATGGTATAACAATAACTTGCATTATTTATTGAAGAACTGTGTCATTTTAGCCTGTCCATAAAATGTTAAAAACAATAACCCACTCGAGAAAGTTCATTAAGGTGATGTTAGCACGGATGAGGGAGTTTCTCTCTGATTCACATTTATACTTATTTTAACTATACGTGTAAAGCTTAAACTTTAAAGTAGCTTTACAGGAGAGGCAAAAAACATACTTTCCTTTTAATGTAAGTCAATGGAACCAGAGTTTTTTTACAAGTAATTTTGGGCCGTTTATTTTGGTTCAATCTATAATCTATTTGGTTCAAATCTATAATACTGCTATTTAATTCAGACATCACGATCCCTGGTTCCCATCACCACCACTGTAAAGAAATAAAGACACCTGAGTCGGTGAGCTTCTCTACACACCAAACCGCTCTGAGTGACTTTGTTTACATCTCATTTGTTGAATTACGTCACCATTTGGAAAAGCAGTGGAACTTCCCTTTACCATATTACAGCTACTTCCTCTCTATTAGTCCTGACTTCAGCTAAAAAATCTGATGGTCAAGATCAGATTTTTCACAGATTCATATTACAGAATCAAATCTGACCTTAATTTAGGAATTTATCTGATCTTACAGCATCTTATCTCCAGTTAGGAAATCTTAACATACTCGATCAGAGTCGACAATCAGCTATCATGTTTCCTAGCAACCAACCATAAACACACAGCTGAAACGTAAACACACAGCTGAAACGTAAACACGTCATCAAAATAATGTCAAAATGTCACAGCTGCAGTTTCTGATGTATAACAGGTCAAACTAAAGAGTGATAAACTGTGAGTAGTAAATACTGTGAGAGCGCCCCCTGCTGTTTATCAGAGCGTCGCCACTCCCCAGTTTCAGTCTCCATTACCCAAACGCTTTAGCCGAGCGCGCTAACGTTTCTCCTCCTAATAAACAGACACGTTCAGCTCCGTCTCCTCATTATTCACCACCATCACTGTAATATTTCATCATCAACATTAACACACGAAGGTGATCAGAGGGCGGTGGAGATCGAGTCTGCAGCGTCTGAGATCTTTAAAACGCAGAGTTAGAAAAGAAAATCATCTCACAGTGAAAGCAGCGTTTTACAGTAGGAATAAATGGAGCTCATTATGCTGGTAGTGAACTATGCTGCTGACTCAGCTGCCTAAAAACCATAGAAACGGACCTTAAACAGAAGTGAGGACCCTGTTGGGGTTCATCCTAAAGTTAGGACAGGATTTAGGAGGTTCAGTCTAGTTAGGATGTTTGTGTGATGCTGTTTTCTTATCTGGAGTTCATGATGAGATTATGAAGTTATGTTATATTATGAAAGAACTGTTACTGTAATACTGTCCAAATTCAGTCCGTACTGAAGTCGTCATGGAGACTAAACTGACTTCAGAGTTAGGATGATCCTGTAATACGACCCCTGGTTCCTATCACTGCCACTGTGGACAGTTCTGACTCTGTAGAATTGCACCAAATCACACCAGATGACTTTGTTTACATCTCAATTATTTAAATTTGTCACAATTTCGAAAAGTGGTGGAGTTTCCCTTTAGATTCTTCAGGCGTCTGGTTCCCATCACCGCCACTGTGAACAGTTCTGACTCTGTAGAATCGCACCAAATCACTCTGAGTGACTTTGTTTACGTCTTCACCATTTAATGATGCAGGAATTTTGAGAAACCTGTGGGATTCCCCTGTTAACACACCCACTTCAGTTAAAGGGCCCGTCCTGTATTTTACTTCCTTCCTCAGGTGCACTGATGACACTGATGACACTTGTGTGGTTTTTGTACTGAAAACAGTCATAATTTCTGTTTACATTTCCAAACTCTCACCCCTTATAATTAAACAGGCTGTTACTGTGAGACTGAATTATCCTCAGTGTCATGTAGAAGAATACTGCATCTCCATTTCTGGAGTTTGTTTACTTTTCTGCATAACCTGAAAAGTCCAGTCACATTTAACACGGTGTTAAATTTAATTTCATGATGAACTGACCAACAGAAAATGGTCCAAAATTAAGTTAAGTAAATATAAGTAGATTATAAGTTAAAAAACTTAAATTATAAGTAATTATAAAATTACTTGCATTATAAGTTACACATTTTTCATCAATAGGCAAATCACTGCCGTCAGGACAAAAACCTCGTATCTCCATTTTTGTCGTTTTTCAGTTTGTCATAATGTAAAAATGCCTGTTGTTCTTTACATTGTGTGTAAATTTAATGACGAATGGACCAAAAGAAACGACCCAGAATGACTTGGAAAGACGTCTGGTTCCATTGACTTAAACTGAAAGTAAAGCAGTCCTTTTCCTTCTCCTGTAAAGTTACCATTCTGGAGATATGAGGTTTTGTTCTGACAGCAACGATATGGATATGTAAATGAACTCTGTTCTGATTGGCTGCTCTGTAACATTGTGTCTGATTTAAACAGCAGTCTGAGCTGAAACACTCCTCATGACTTCAGTGAGAGTGGGTGGAGCTAAAGAGGCCAAGTAGACTGAATAGGTAAACGAGGGTGAATGTGTCGGTTTTTGTGACATCACAAAAACAGTGAATCCAAATCAGGCTGTGTTTGCAGTTTGGTTTCCCTAATATGGGCCCTTTAACCACTTGGCTGAGGTGTTTCAGGGCACTCCAGGACCACCCCCTCTTTCTTCAAGGGTTCTTTGAACAAAATGGTTCTCCAAAGAACCCTTTGCCTGATTCTTTGCATCATGAAAGCGTTCTTCAGAATGTGCTACAGACGGTTCTTTTTGATAAGCGTTCTATACAGCACCCAAAAGGGCTCTTTTACTGTTACATTATCAAGCTTGTAAGCATAGCGGAACGTTTTTGGGTGCTATACAGAACCCTTTTCAAAAAGGTTCCATATAGAACCATCTAACACATTCATCATCAGTCTAAAGAACCATTTCATCCCACAAAGACCCAGTTAAGCATGAAATGGCTCTATATAGAACTCATGGTTCTAACCAGAATCATTGCCTTTACTAAGGAAGCTTTGAAGAACTGTCTTTAAGAGCGTATTCTTTTAAAAAGATGGTTCTTCAGTAAAGACAGTGGTCATACAAAGAACCGTGAACACTCATGAATGTGCTGTAGAGGAGTCGGATTGAAAGGGGTTCTATATAACACCCAAAAAGGTTCTGCTATTGTTGGATGCTACATAGAACCTCGTTCAAAAAGGTATGTAGAACCGTATAGCACATTCTCAGTCACTCTGAAGAACGATTTCATCATGCAAAGAACCATTTAAGCATGAAATGGTTCTATATAGAACTAGTGGTAAGCAGAACCATTGCCTTCACTGTAGAACCCTTGAAGTGCCATCTTTTTTTCACTCCTAAAAAAAGACGGTTCTTCAGTAAAGAAAAAAGAACTTTGAACACTTAAAGAACTCTGCATGATTAAAGGGTTCTTTGCATCATGAAAGGGTTCTTCAGAACATGCCGTAGATGGTTCTATACAGAACATTGTTGATAAGCGTTCTATATAGCACCCAAAATGGTTCTTTGATTGTTGTGATGTCAAGCTTGTAACAACAGAAGAACCCTTTGGGTGGTATAAAGAACCCTTTTCAAAAAAGTTCTACATAGAACCATATAGCACATTCTCAGTCAATCTGAAGAACCACTTCATTGTACAAAGAAGTTAAGCATTAAATGGCTCCACATAGAGCTTGTGGTTCTAACCAGAACCACTGCCTATACTAAGGAACCCTTGAAGAACCATCTTTAAGAGCATATATCTAAATATATATCAATCTAAAGAACCATTTCACCATACAAGGGACCCTTGAATCATGCAAACGGTTCTGTGAGTGTTTATAGATCTATATATGGACCGTTTTCTTTACTAAAGAACCCTTGGAGAACCATCCCTTTTTAAGAGCGTATGTTTCAGGAAGTAGCTCTCTGCGCTGCGCTGTCTCTGTGGCGGTGAGGTTCTAGCTAGGAGGATATGGCCTGTGTGGCCGAGGTAAACAGAGTGGGTTTAACCTGTGCTGAGTCTGGACACCTCTCCGAACGGGCTGGGCTCCATCCGCAGGTACTTCTGCGGGGAGGACGCCGGAGACAGCGCCGGGGCGCAGCGCCTCCGCTTGGGGGAAGCCGGGTTCAGCACTGGGTCCCAGTCCATAGTCCTTTTAAGGGTGGCTCCACACGCCATGGTCCTTCACACGAAGCCGGGGCTCGGAAATTAAACGGTAATCCTTCCACGGAGTGGATTAAACCGAGGTAAACGTCGCCGAAACCGCCGCTGGAGCTCTGGCTGGCTGTCTTCTCTCTGGGGTGGGGAACAATTACCGTCGATTTTTCGGTGCCCGGGTCACCTTCACAGCTCCAAACCGCATCCGACGAAAAGCTAAAAGCTTTATAAACGCCTTGGACTCAGATTATCGGACTTTGGGAGCTCCGAACACTCGGATGAACTCGGATTCTCCTCGGAGCGAAAAAACGACGCCGCTACTTCCACCGACCGGCCAGCGAACATGGCGAGGAAACAAAACATTAGAGGGGATGCGACAATCCGCGCATGCGCGAAGTCGTCGATGCTGGATGGGACTTGTAGTTTTATTGCACCCGCACGCTCTATGCGAACCCACATCGTTTGTTTCCGTAAAAAACTACATTACCCGTGTACCAGTCGGTTTAAAGGTCTCTATTGGTGGTTTTGGACTGAATGTGAATTTTGAAAAACGCTGTCAGTAAACAGGAGCCCAAATATAACGAATAACAACCTTAGGTGGATCTGAAGTGGCTCTCAGGTAAATGTCAGGGCAGAGCATATAAGATGTTAAAGGAGAATTCCACCTATTTTTCGAAATTCTGGGTTTTGGATGCAAAGAGTGATTCACAGTGGTTTGGTGTGAAATGGTTCAGATGTCTTTACAGTGGTGGTGATAGGAACCAGGGGTCGCCATGACTACAACACAGATATAGACATTTTATTTACTTTAATTTTGTAACATAGGTTGAGTTCTCTTTTAATAACATTTACTTATTTAGTTGCACTTTCCAGTCAGGAGCTCTCCACACAATAAAGCCCCCTCACAGAAAGTTACTACATGAAATGGTTATGAATTCACTGCCTGATGACTGAGACACTGTTTTATGATAGTTTGGAGAAGATTTTGGTCTAAAACATACTGAACTAAAAAAAAATCATGTACCAAATAAAGGCCCTATGTTGTGTTGTACGAGTGCTGAACTGATGAAATTTTTGATTTTTGTTAAACTGTCATGTACAGTGAATCTGTAACATTAGCAAGACAAAGATATTGTCTTATTTGCACTTTCCTTTAACTAGACTAACTTGAAGATTATACTCTGGCCAGGATCTTTCTTTTCTGTTTGTCTAAATGAAAAAGTGGATGATTTTTTGAAAAATATGGTTTACTACATTATATGCATCCACGCAAAATATTCGTATTAACAGCAATGATATGCAATTTATGTTGCTGAATTAGTATATTTTACAAAATGTGTAAATACATGATTATTTATTATAATTTAAATCAGCATTTTAAGCCAGTATTCTAAGTTACTATTACTACCACCACCACTATCAGTACTACTGCTAATAATGAAGTATTACCTCTTCTGTATTACTGGATGCACATAGTGCTGTTCTAAATAAACAATCATTTTTAAAATACAACATAATTATTGTTGTTGTCATTGCTGTTTCATCTTAATACTATTGTTATTATCTACTTATACTTCTCTGTGTATCTGAATAAGAGTAATATTTTTGAAATATGTTGTTATAATCATTATTATTTAAAAAGTATTAGTCTTTAGTTACTCAGTTAGTAACTATTACTACTACTACTAATAATAATAATAACAATACTTTTACTGTATTGCTACATTCAAACAGTGCTGTTCTAAATAAATTTGAAAAATATTACAGTTACTCAGTGACACAGAGATTATTATTATTGTGATTATTTTAACGTATTTTAGTAAATTATATTACTAAAAGTGGAAAAAAGAATTACTAGTACTACTACTACGACTACTACTGTTAATGAGACTAAGAGTAAGAATGAGAACAACAACTTTAAGGTATTTCTAGATGCAAATAGTGCTGCTCTAAATAAATGTGAATCTATATGTTAACATGTTTATTTTATTACTGTTATTGTTGCTATCGTCACTCAGCACCTCTGCCAGCTTGCCCCGCCCCTGCAGACTCCGCCCCTGCGCGTGTCCCCCTGCAGCCCCGTAGCAGCTCTCTCTGTGAGGCGAGCGTGAGCGGCCCGCCGCCATTTTGCGTTATCTGATGAGGCGGAGCGGAGCGGCGGGGTTCCTCACTCTTCTGCTGCCTTTACTCTCCTAAACCCCGACAGAACCCTCACAGACTCACCTTCCGCAGCTCGCCGAACCATCTCCAGGTGAGTGCAGGCCCTCAGAGGCCGTGTGAGCGAAGCTGTGTACGCTGCTCGGAGGAGAGTGAGGGCGGGCTGGGCTGGACGGTCCGGCCGGCTTTTTGAAAATGGACTCCGCTCTCAGGCTTCGCGGGCTTCCTCAGGCCCGGGCGGCGGCTGGATAACCTCACTGCCTCGCCTCTGATGCAGCCGAGCGGCTGCGCGCTGTGCGTGTTTGGCTCGCGGAGTGCTGCGGTGCGCGGTGTGCGGTTTGTCTCCGGCGCCGCGGCTCATTTGCAGGATATTCCGTGCAGCGTAGCTTTGTGCAGCTAACGCGATGCTAACCCAGCTAGCTGATGAAATGAGGCTGAGCTCAGCGTCTCGTTCGAATTTTCCCGGTCCACCTTAAGTGGCGCAGCAGCCGCTTTACACTCTGAGGCGCCAGAATGGAACTTCTGCACCATTTAAGGTGGACCGGGAAAATTTGAACAAGAGGCTGACACCGTTAGCAAATAAAGCACGTTGGCTTCGCAGAAAACGCCTCCTGCTCCCAGATCCTGCCTTCTAACCTGCTTTGTTAGAGCTGTTAGTGGTTTTAACGTGAATAAAACGACAAATTTGCCTTTGTTTTAAGTAACACGGAGCTCAGTGTGTGCACTGGCTCTTATTGTGGCCTGTCCTGCTCAGTTTAAGCTTTCTTTTAGACATGTAGTTAACTTTTCTTAGCATAGATCTTAGCTGTGCATCATTTTCTTCAAACACTAACAGCTTTTATCTAATCTAATCATCATAATGTTAATAATAGCCTCGTATTTGGTAGCTTATGAGAAGCTGCGTTAGATTAACGTTAAGTCTGAGCATCTTAAAGGGCCCATATCCTCCATTTTTCGCCTTCCACATGTGCTTATAGTGTGGGTCCAGTCCTAAGGCTGGAGTACGTGGACGGGACAAACACAGATATTTGATTGGAGTGCTTTGTTGAAAGTCTCTAAAATGGTCTCTTCGTATTCACTGTAGTTCACTTTACTGGCCTTTATAAGACATGAATATGTGGATGAGCTCTGCTCTGATTGGCTGTCTTGTATTCCGCCTCATTCAGAAAGCAAGAGCTCCTTGCAGCTTGTAAGGCGTGCTGCAGCCTCAGTAGGCAGATTTATGTAAATTAGTTTATATAGATTTTGTGACCTCACAAAAACACTGAACTCAAAATGGGTTTTTGTAGCTGTTAGACCACATAGACTGCAACAGAACTCCAGCCCTGTTTACGTCCTACATAACTCTTTCCACTGAAGCTGGGGTCAGTTTTCCGTGATATGGGCTCTTTAAGTGTTCGTGTTTAATTGAGGAGGAAGGTGTGGGTTACTGTGCTGCTCATTACCGCCGTCTTTATTCAGATTTTCCAGCAGTGATGTGAAAGTGCGAGCTGAATTTATTAAAGTCAGTGGAACTTAAAGCTCTGGTGTTTTACAGAAAATGACAGTACAGCACGTTTTCAGCCGCGGCTCAGTGTTTTAATTATTCAGCGGGGATTTCACAGAGCAGGATTAGTGTTAGCTGGTTCAATTAAGCCTTCAGTCAGTCCCGTCTAATAGTAGGAGCCGTTTCTGTCATCAGGCTTAAATTGTCCTGTAATTAAAGAAATATATTGCTGAGAAATTTAGCTCTATAGTGTCTGCAAGATACTAATATTGATTATGCACTAGAGTTTTAATCGTGTAAATCGTTTTACTGAGTGAAAGTAGTACTTTGAAGTAATTTGTAGTTTCAGTGGGGGAATTCACAGAGCAGGATTAGTGTTAGTTTAGTTTAACTAAGCCTAAAGTCAGTCTTGGCTAATTCAAGGAGCCATTTCTATTGGGCAGTCTTCAGACTTAAATTATCCTGTAATTAACAAAATATATTGCTGAGAAATTTAGCTCTGGAATTGCCTACAGGATACTAATATTGATTGTGTTACTGTTTTCATTATACAATGTATGTGGTATAATAAGAAGAGTAATATTTTATGAAATTATATTTTTAGCTGAAAGTTTCAGAGCAGGATTTCTCAGTTAGCCAGTTAACTTAAACCTAAAGTCAATCGGATCCAACAGGAGGAGAAGAGTAAGTTTCTTTTGGATGATCTTCAGGATTGAGTTATTATATATAAATTAAACTGAACATTACACACAGTGTGAAAGTGTTTTTCTATTTAAACTGATTAAAGTTCTTCCATATGGTCATAGATACAGATTGATGTGAATGTGTTTTAACCATGCAGGAGGGGTCTGTGTGTGTGTATGTATTGAGGTGAAAGATGTAGGTGAATATGTACATCTGATTAGGTGGCTCTTTTGCTTTTGCTCACTCTTTAATGCATTGTTAGCGCTGTGAAGTGCTGCTCCATTGTTTTGCTAAAGTGTTGATGCAGGTGAGAGCTTTTCATTTGCATGCAGATCTAAATTGATCATGGTTGTAAATTGGATGGGGGTGGAGCTAAACTATGACTAAAACTCTGCCCCTCCGAAAGTGTCCGACATTAATTTGGCTCCATTGCATTTGAACAGATTTCTGGCGGCATGGCAACAGAACATGTAAATGGGAACGGTACGGAGGAACCGATGGACACGTCGGCTGCAGTTACCCACTCTGAGCACTTCCAGACTTTAATAGAGGCTGGGTTACCACAGAAAGTTGCTGAAAAGCTAGATGAAATTTACATTGCAGGTAAGCCAAGAACAAACGAAGGAAAAACAAATTCAAATTGACTGTTTTTTCCCACCTTTTTCTGCCTCTTTCTGGGTTCAGCCCGAACATTTCATTGCATGTTAAACTGTATTTGACCTCTCTCTCTTCCTAAACTGTGATATTGTGCCCTTTTTAGAGGACTGAAGCAACTTTGTGTGGTTTCCAAAATATGAAATTGGGTACTGCAGCCCCCAAAACCGCTCCTGAGCCGGGCCGGCACTCGGCCGTACAGTCACTAGGGCTGAATGGAGGGCGTCTGCTGCCACAAAGAGTGCAGGGATTAGCGCTTTATGGCTGTAGACCGGGAGGGGAGGGGGCTGTGCCCCTTGATAACGTCCCCGGGGGCTGGATGTGATCCTCTGTAGGGGTTTTGGGGGGTGGTGGGGGGCCAGCTGGGCATTTGGTGTAACAATAGCAGCAGCTGTCCTGAGGCGGAGACAGGTGATGTGTGCAAACGGTAGGGGTGTAACGATTCAATTCACTCTTCACCTCACACTGCCTTTCAGTTTTAAAGGGGACTTCCACCCATTTTTCAGAATTCTTGCATAATTAAGTGGTTAAGATGTAAACAGAGTCGTTTAGAGTGGTTTGGTGTGAAACGCTCCGTTCTAGAGAAACTCACCGAGTCAGAACTGTTCACAGTGGTGGTGATAGGAACCAGACGTCTGATTCAGTGTTTTATTTCAGGCTAGAAACGTGACAGAATTGGACTGAATTCATTCTTTTTTGCTCAGTACAAATAATCAGTATCAGATCTGTGCCATCTCTAGATTCCACTAATATATTTTTATTTTTTAGATTAAATTATGCGTAATTAAACGGTTGAGCTGTAAACAATAATTTAATGCTCTGAAGCGTTTAATATCTCGAAGCTATATCATAGTTATTAGATTATTATTCAAGCTCAGTTCACACAATTCATTAAATTAATTCAATTAACTGACTCTACATCTGTTTTTTTTTAACTATCTGTCATTGTTTTGTTTACTGTAAAACATTATCACCTATCTGTTGGTATAAAAGTGCTTTATAATAATATTATTATTACTATTGTTTTTTCGAAGATTTCACCTTAAATGATCATCCGTTTAACAGGTAATTACCTAAGAGACAAATAAAATAAAAACTAAATAGATTGAAGTATAATAAGTGGCTAAATAGGTGCGAGTCTGTCTGTCTGCAGTTGTAATAAATAGCGTGTGCAGTAAGATGCTGTCTGGAGGCATTCTGTATGATAAAGATAGTTATGCCATAAGACACACAGGGCTGTGTTCCTGTATGACACAATTGGCCCCAGAGAAACCGTATTTTGTCAGATTGATCTCCGAGTGACTTTGTTCACATCTCAACCATTGAATTCTGCAGAATATTAAAAAACAAATGGTGGAGTTCCCCTTTAGCTAGAGACGGCGCTGATCTGATCGCGGTTATTGGTTTTGGGCTGATATTGGTAGAAGATGCTGAATCAGAGAACAAACAAAAAATGAATTCAGTTCAATTCTGTAACATTTCTGTTCTGCAGTTAAACGCTTATTTATGGGGCAAAAATGTGGAAAAATTACATCACAAGACTTGAAGACATTTTCATGATACAGTCTTTAAATACAGAAACTAGGAGTTTGTAGATATAGTTTTCTTGCATTAATATTAATAACATGTGTAATGAATAGGGGTGTTCACATGTAAGTGTTGTGGTGTATTATAAAATGTGGTACAACTAAATAAACATTTTTATGGGGTTACAGAGGCAGTAAATATGGTGCAGATATTTTAGTGCAGATGTTTCTGTGTTCAATACATCAGATATCAGATTGAAATATAAATCTAATCACATGTCTGATGCTGCAGATAATTTAACCCTTAACCGCTGATACAGATTCTGATATCGTCATGCATCGTTATTGCAGTTGTTCCGTGTTCACAGAAGAGCGTATTGACATCATTTGTCACAGTGATGAATGTTATATCGTTTACTCCTGACTGTTTATAGTATTGCGAAAAACAGGAGAAAGAAAAGTGAAATTTCATGTTAGAGAAGAAACGTCAGTTTGGTGTATATCAGCTGATGCTCATGGCTTCAGTAGTGCAAAAGAATAAGTGTCATCTCTGATTTTAACACAGTCCAGATCAGAAATGTCAGATTTGCTCCGTGTTCCTAGTTCTAAGCGCAAATCTGAAGAAAACAGTTGGGCTGATCAGCCTGTATGGCTAAACAGTTCATTTCCTACTTTATCATTAATTTCAGTCTTTAGCTCACAAGATGATCATTGGCTGCAAGAAAAGTCCAGATTCATGAATTAATGTAAGTTATTAGTGTAATAAACTTGCGTGGGCTGTGTTAGGTGTTCGTCCGTTTATCTGTGCGACTGTTCCAAATTCAGATGATCATTTTAGACCAATCAGAATGATTTATGAGGTGAAATACTGAATTAATGCTCAAACCTTTCTTAGATTTCTTCATTATAAGACCTTGTCTTTACTCCTCTAAAGTGTACGTAGCTCTAGTTACTCTCTAGTTACAGTTGTGTATTCAGAGTGTTTTTAATTATTGATTTGGGATTTATTGATTCATTGGCTTCCTAAGAAATCAATCAAATCAGGGTAACATTTACGCCCCTATTGTGCCTCTTATGCTCAGTATAACAGGGCTCAGCTGCTGATCTGTTTCTTTGCTGTTAAACCGATAGTTTGACGAAAGACCTTGTTCAAATGTGTTCGGACACTGAACACGACTCAGCTGATCGAAGTATGATTCTTTAGTTTTAGCGCTGTAGGCTAATGTAGCTAATGCTAACCGTACTCTAAAAGACTTTCTCTCACACCTAAAGACGCTGTCAGAGTTTATATCACACACTGTGGTTCTCCAGAGTCTGGGATCCTGCAGGGTCACTGTTTGCAAGCCTGCAACTAGACTTTGGAGATGTTGATGGAAGTTTAGAAAGCCTTTTCCTTCTCCGCTCTGTGGTGGTACAGATGTGAAGACACTCTGGCTGGACGTGTAAAGATCCAGGCTCAGCCCAGTTCACTGTAGACCTGTATATTCTGGCAGATCATCACCCAGAATGTATTAATTAGTCTGTAGAAATGTGCAGTTACTTTATTTCATATGAAGATTTAGAGCAAAACATGCATCAGTTCAGCACTGTTGATCATCATGATCTAAACCATAAACCAACACAATACGAAACCACTGTTACAGAACCTACTGTCTGTTAGACACTCGGTGAGCCTGAAATACTAAAACAGCCGGTTTACATTAAGTTAATATGATTGTTTTAAAGTGGAGCAGATTTTTAGAGATTTCAGGCTCTCATACATTTCCTCCCTTACACTCTCGCTCACCTCCGGCGCGCCACGAGCCGAGACTCAAAACTTATGGTTATATTAAACACGGTTTTATCGCCGCGTCAAAACAAGAAAATACAAAGACAGCCATGCTGACCACCTCACACTACACGATCAAAATGATGCGAGCGCGACTCAAATCTAGCAAAGCTCTGGATGTGTGACCGTTAAATCGTCTGAAAAGCCGTTTGGTGTGAGGCCGGTATCACCGCCTCTGCCTTATTAACGCTGAGCGATGGCGCAGCTGACAGCTTTTTTGCCCAATAACCAGTATCAGATCAGAGCCATCTCTAGTTAAAGGGGAATTCCACCTTTATTTATTTATTTATTGCATAATTTAATGGTTGAGCTGTAAATATCTCTAAAAGGTCTATCGTAGTTATTGTAATAGATTATTAGCCAAGCTCAGTTCACACGTTTAATGATAATTAAATAAATTCTGTCTTTTTAAAAATGTTTAAATTGATCTGTTGTTGTTTTTCTCTTAGATTAAAATATTGTCACCTGTCTGGTATGATTGGAAATGATCAGATTCGTGTGTTCACAATGAGCTGCTCTGAAAAGTCAGATCTGTCTCACGTTAAGGACAGAAACTGGATATAGTCCAGTCGAAATGCTTGCAGTTAAATGATTGATATTTGTTTCCAAGACAAATATAAACAGTGACTGCGATTCCATAGGAATTTATTTTTAATTTTGTAATTAAGTTAATGTTAATCATTTGTGAATTGTGTTAAGCTCTCTCTCTCTCTCTCTCTCTCTCTCTCTCTCTCTCTCCTGGCATGTCTCTGTTTCACTGAGCCGAGACTTAAAACTTATAATATTCAAGACAGTTGATTTTATCGCAGCGCCAAGACGAGTTAAGACAGCCATCCTGACACTACACTCTGGCGAAACTGTCACGATACTATTCTGACAGTGTAAGTGTTTTCTGACTGGGTGTGAGCCCAGTTAACGACTTCATAGATAGACAGAATAGACTGTGTGGTTTCTGACACCGTTATCTGTAAACATGGCCTGAAGTGAGCGGTGATGGAGGTGTGCAGTCGGCACCATGCTGGTTGGTGACAGGCTATTTTTAGCTGATAGATTGTTTTCAGTATCGTGTCTGTTCTGAGGTCTGCGCTCTGGATGCCCCTTTATTTGGACACTCCAGGGTTAATAATTAACGAACTGTGTAGGTAAACTCTGCTGACTGTCAGCAGTTTTAGACTTGGGTTTTGAGGTTAAGGTTAGATTAATGTTGAAGTTTAGGAAGAAGGTCAGAGAGATCATAGTTGCGCCTTTCAGTTAAGCTGATTATGCTCAATTATTTTCCACACTGCAGCAAGCAGGATGTGAATTAGGTGCTTTTTCATCAGTTATGAAAACTGCAGAAGTTCTAAGTTCTGTCTGGTGCTGAAACCTGTAGAGGGCAGCACTGAGTTCTGTTTGAGCTGTGCTGTGTCTGTGAAGCGTCGAGGTAGGACAGTCAGTTAATTTGGCCAGTTTAGGCTAGTGCTTTTAATAGTTGAATACAAAAACTGTTCAGATGCTCATGTGGCGCGTCTGGCTGAAGTGTGAGGTGTCAGGCCTGTTAACAGTCGGCCTGCGCAGACGAGTTGAAGTTTGAAGTGGATGTGCTAGGCATGACCCTGGTGGTCAGTAATGTGGCGAAACACGACACCACCACGCTTCGTTTTCATGACCTCTTCACTACTTGGGATGCATCCCGATATTTAGTTGTTCTGTGGGTTGATTCATTTGGAACAGGCAAAAATGAACCAGCACTTCTATCAAAAACTATAAGTGCAGTCATTTTCACACACTACACCGCAGGGCTGAGCAGTGTGACAGTATTCATCTCGAAATTGTCACATTTCATAACTGCATGTTTACTGATTGCATCGCAGCATATTAAATGTTGAATGCAAATCATTGGATTCATTTTTTAGTGTTTTTATTTAGACGTGGCTCTGCATCAGATGTTGGAGAAAATATTGAAAACATTAGAGAAAAAAAATTTGTGCTGATATTAAACTTTTATCCCCCACCTCTGTGGTACTACACTAGTGCTGCATTTGACTGAAGCTCGTAACTGACCTCCGATGGAGGGAAGATTAAAGAAAACTCCCCCTCAGCTGGGAATTCCCATTTGGAAAGTTGGGATGGCATTCTCAACTCCATGCACAGCATAAGTCAGAGTGGCTGCTCACCCTGTGAGCAGCTAAAAAAGGACCGTGCCAACCCAACCATTAAAATGAGAGTGGTAGTATTTGCTTTGGTATTTGGTAAAATACAGACACAGTAGTGTGTTTTGAGAAGGATGAATGTGTTTGATGTTAGTCATCACTCAGTTCGTCAGCCTCAGCTGGCTGGTGTGGTGCTAACAGCATATTTTTCCCCACTTTGTAGCTCAAACACACAGGTTGGGTTGAGTGCAGGAAAAATGCAGTGAAACAGGGCAGATTTTGCTCTTTTTGTAATGAAACCTGCTGTTGGACGTTGTTCTCTAAGCGTCCGTATCCGCTGAGTGCTCAGAAACATAACTTACCATATAAACCATACATAGCATCCCAGATATCAGTGCAACGTATACTATATTGTGTTGTACTGATCTTGTGATTTGCTATAGTATTAGGTTAGGACAGTATATAATGCAGCTTTTAAAAATGTTCAATTTTGTACTTTTATAATGTCCAGTACTGTAATGGAAACATTGACACTGACACACTGCACATTTTCAGCCACTCCTTTTTTTCTTTATCTAAAAACGTATCATATGATCCGCACAGTCAGTCTGACAGACTGTAATACACTACAGGAAGCGTAGGGGGCGATATGGCTTCTACTGTTTCATTTAAAAAGCTCTATAATGTTCATATGATCCACACAGTCACTCTGACAGACTGTAATACACTACAGGAAGTGTAGGGGGCGATATGGCTTCTACTGTTTCATTTAAAAAGCTCTATAATGTTCATATGATCCACACAGTCACTCTGACAGACTGTAATACACTACAGGAAGTGTAGGGGGCGATATGGCTTCTACTGTTTCATTTAAAAAGCTCTATAATGTTCATATGAGAGGAAAAAAATAGTCAAACAATCTGTTTGATTCTGAACAATCGTTTGAAGTCTGATAATCTATTAAAATGAATCATAATCCTAAAGTGGAATTCCTTCATGATTTAGTGGTTGAGATGTAAACAGTGATTTGGTGTGAAATGGTGTCTTTACAGTGGTGGTGACAGGAACCAGGGGTCGCCATGACTACAACACAGATATAGACATTTTATTTACTATCAAAACCACCAGTGAACCTACACGAGTCTTCTGAGTTTATATGGAATGTTGATGATGAAAAATAGTGGAAAATCTGAAATAATAAGTTTTCTTTGGGGACTATTTTGCCTCACAGCGCCCTGCATGTATCCCTCCACCATGAATGGAGTTTAAGTTCTCTAAACTATCATAAAACAGTGTCTCAGTCATCAGGCAGTGAATTCATAACCATTTCATGTAGGAACTTTCTGTGAGGGAGCTTTTAGAGGTGGACGTCTGGTTCCTATCACCACCACTGTGAACAGTTCTGACTCGGTAAGTTTATCTAGAACAGAGCGTTTCACACCAAACCACTCTGAACCACTCTGAACCTCTCTGATTACATCTGAACCAATTAATTATGCAGGAATTTTGGAAAGTGAGTGGAGTTCCCCTTTATTAGGTATTTAGTTGAGCGCAGTCTCAGTTGAGAGATGAGGTAAGTATCTCTGTCCTGTCCTGATGATAAATTGTCTACATGCTTTGTTGTTGGGGTCCTTTGTCCGAATGATGATACAGTTGAACTCTCTCTCTGAGTAACTGCAGTTACGCTGCTGGACACTGATCAGATCTGACCGGACAGAGGGTTTTACTGGTCGGCGTGTGGCGCCGTCGCTGAGCGCAGCGTGTAAAGGTTGTGTTTGTGGTTCCGTCTGCAGGCCTCGTAGCACACAGCGATCTGGACGAGCGGGCCATCGAAGCCTTGAAGGAGTTCAATGAGGAAGGTGCACTGCACGTTCTCGTCCAGTTTAAGGAGAGCGACCTATCCCATGTGCAAGTAAGTGTGTGCGCACTTACACGGGCTAACCTTTAGAGGGCGCCAGGTTTTGGTTGTAAGATTAAAGGGCCCATATCCTACACAACACGACGTTTCAGTAGATTTGTGCATAGTAATTTATCTCTACATGATCGTTATCCAGCCTCTCTATCTCTTGCAGTTAAACAGGCTGTTTGATACGACTGATTTATGCAAATAAGCTCTGTTCTGATTGGCTCTGCTTCATTTGGAAAGAGCTGAAACTTTCTTTATGGGTGGACTAGGGAGTGAACAGGACATCTTGAGACGTTATTTACATATTTGTTTACATACGCAGCTCCTCTGGTGTAGAGGTGAGGAGGCGTGTGTGTTGTGATATGCGCTCTTTGAAGTGTGGTCTCTGTTTTTAAAGTGAGATATTTGGAGTTGTTTTGTGCCGCAGAGTAAATAATGAAACTTATCTAAACAAATTCCATATTTCATATTTTTGTTTTGTCCTTATTGTCGTTATTTTACAGCATTTCAGTGTGAAAGTTGAAATTTTAGTTCATGTTGATGTAATACTCCACACTTAATGATGGTTCTTCAGAAGTTCTTTAGTAAAGAAAATGGTTCTGTATAGAACCATGAACACCGAAAGAACCCTTTGCATGAATAAAAGGTCCTTTGCGTCGTGGAATGCGTCTTCAGATTAATGGAGAATGTGTTGATGGTTCTACATAGAACCTTTTTGAAAAGGGTTCCATGTAGCACCAAAAAGGGTTCTTCTGTTGTAATGACGTCTCAGTAGAAGAACTTAGAAGAATATACTTGTTATAGTAGAAGAACCCTCTTTGGTGTTAGTTCTATATAGAAATTCTCCATCAATCTGAAGAACAACTTAACCAGGCGAAGAACTGTTTAATCATGCAAAGGGTTCTTTCAGTGTTCATGGTTCTGTAGAAAACCGTCGTTTCTAAGAGTTGGCCTGGGTGATGTCTGAGATCTGGTTGCACTTCTTGTTTTTTAAAAAGAGGAAAAAAACAGTATTATTATAATTATGTTTGAGGAACTCACTGTGGAGTCAAATCGTATTAAAGCTCCATAGTAATTCACCATTTTAACAGCGTAATGAAATAAAACATGAACATATAAATGAATTCAAATGAAAGTCAGTCTTCAGGGCTGCTACTTCTCTTTCCTGATGTGGTGATTATTGCTTTTGAAGCATTGATGATATCTGATTGTCACCCTGGCCTAATAAAAACACCTCCTGCCGTCTGATTGGTTAAATGCACGGCGTTTCCCGGATTCATTTGCATTAAGTTCTGTTACCATATTAATAAATAATGCATAAATAGATTATAGCTGTTCAGCCTGTCTTAGCTCAGCTCTGCAGCTGATGATTAAGAGATTAGGGTCTGTAGGCTGTGTACAATCAAACGTGGAGAATAGTGACCCTTTTTTCCTGTGTGCAGGGGTAAAGGCATGATTCAGACGTTGATGTAGGGCTGATGGGATATTAAAGAGTAGACGCCACTGAGACCGACAGCAAAGAAGTTTCGCTCGTGAATGAAATGTTTTTGTGCATGCTTTTAGAGGCGAGCAGCGTAAAACAGACTCTGAGCTTAACTCATTTAATTTAACTGTCCTAACTTCATTTCAGTTTAACGATTCTTTTCTTTTAAAATCTATTGTTTGTCATGTTTTGATCATATTTTTAATTTCTGTTCACTTTACGTTTTTCTGTTATCCTTTACTTTTTAAATGATCTTGAATTGTATCATTTATAAAGCCCTTTGAATGATAGCAGTGTATGAAAAGTGCTATATAAATAAACTTGCCTTGGTGTTCGTGGACGTGTTGCATTGCGGTTACACTTGTTAACACAGAAGCGCACGGCATGTGGCACAGAAGTTGCCTCTGGTTTAAAATGCGCCTCACTTTAGAGAGATTTTCATTAATTTGTGATATTGAGCTGTAGTAAACAGTAGACAGCTCTTCCAGTATACTGGCTAAAGTTCTTCTTGAAGGGGAACACCGCCAACTTTTCAAAGTTTCTGCCTAATTAAATGTTTGGTGTGTGTGATGCAGAATTGTTCACAGTGGTGGTGATAGGAACCAGACGTCCACCTCTAAAAGCTCCCTCACAGAAAGTTCCTACATGAAATGGTTATGAATTCACTGCCTGATGACTGAGACACTGTTTTATGATAGTTTAGAGAGCTTAAACTCCATTCATGGTGGAGGGATACATGCAGGGCGCTGTGAGGCAAAATAGTCCCCAAAGAAAACTTATTATTTCAGATTTTCCACTATTTTCCATCATCAACATTCCATATAAGCTCAGAAGACTCGTGTAGGTTCACTGGTGGTTCTGGATAGTAAATAAAATGTCTATATTTGTGTTGTAGTCATGGTGACCCCTGGTTCCTATCACCACCACTGTAAAGAGATCTGAACCATTTCACACCAAACCACTCTGAGTCTCTCTGTTTACACCTCACACACTCGCTTAATTTTAAAATTGGTGGAATTCTCCTTTGAGAGATTAGTTTTGCCCTGCCGTTACTCATTGGTACACCACAAATAAATACAGGTCAGCCTGAGCTTCAGGCTGGTAAGGCACTGCAGTGTGTTGAAGGAGAGAATATCAGACTGATGAGTTACAGGAGGAAGACGGAGCGAAAGGAAAAGATACAGGCAGAGAAGCTCTGCAGCCTCTCAGCTAATGCTGACAGCAGGAACCACTAATTTCAGCAGCAGATGAAAGCTTGTGTACCAGACGCATGGCTGAGGAAAACAAAAAAAAAAAAAAGAGAGAGAGCCGACTGTGTGCTGACACGCCCGCACCTTTAGCTCCTCATACTGACGTGTGTACATGCTGATCAATTCTGTTTACTTTATTTTCATTTATTTTAACAAAAGTTTCAGGTTTAATTCAGTTGTTAGTTATAAAAAGTGAAGGAATATCCTCCGGTTTCCTCCCACAGTCCAAAAACGTGCAGTCAGGCTAATTGGACGTGCTGAATTGCCCCTAGGTGTGAGTGTGTGAATGTCTGTCTGTCTGTCTGCCCTGCGATGGACCGGCGACCTGTCCAGGGTGTATCCTCCCTTCTGCCCAATGACAGCTGGGATAGGCTCCTGCACCCCACCGCGACCCAGAACTTTTAATAGTTCCAGTTTTCAGTTCTGTGCCTAATTTGAGCTTTGTGTGAAAATTTCACGATTGCACCAATAGAAATGCTCCAAAATTGCTTTTAATAAAATCTCTTTACATTAACTGGCACTGAAAGTAAAGAACGTTTTTGCCCTCGTCTACGAAGTTATCTTGGCAATGCAAAATACGTTTTGTCTTAGGACGCTGACTGTGTGTGTGTGTGTGTGTGTGTGTGTGTGTGTGTGTAAACAAAAAGGATCAGACAGTGCCAAGCTGTACCTGTAATGCCCCCCAACCTGTGCAGCACTAAACCCAGTTCAACAGGCCTGATTCTGCTCGCATTGTGACGAAACGTGTAGTTGGTCTTCTTTAACACTGCAGATATGAATTTGTCAATAATTGGATTATACAGTGATCTAAATGTTTGGCCGTATCACCCAACACCAGTGTCGAGGACAACTTTACTGGACAGAGGCAGCTCTTACAGTTTATTAGGGCCGAGCAGTGAGACCAAATCTTGTCATTGTGATAAAAGGTCAATACGCTGTTCTAAGCCTATCGTGGATATCAGTACTTAAAGAACACTGACTGACCACTGTTTTATTACTGAGTGAGCAGAATTAGGCCTGTTTAACTGGGTTTAGTGCAGAGCAGTTTGTAAACCGTTGAGTAAAACCTACAAAATAAACTGCTGAACATGATTTGAGTGTCTGATGTTCGTATGCTCTCTCTCCCTCTTTCAGAACAAAAGTGCCTTTCTCTGTGGAGTGATGAAGACGTATCGGCAGAGAGAGAAGCAAGGGACCAAAGTTTCAGATTCCAACAAAGGACCAGACGAAGCGAAAATCAAAGTACGGCTGCACAGTTACGCACCACACAAATTAAATATTTTATTTTAGGACATTCTGCCGCCAAGTCTGTTTTCCAACAACCAGCACATGTTTATTACCGGCTAAAACTCTTGTGTGTTGATTCCTGTTAACCTTGCAGTGTTTCTCCCCATTTCTACCTCATTAACTCATACAGTCGATAGAGTCCAGACGCTCTAACTCTCTTTTGCTCTGGCTTTGAGCCGTTTTATCCTGTTAGTGGTTGTTTTTAATGTTGAATCTGTCACGCAGGCTCTGCTGGAGAGAACCAACTACACGCTCGATGTGACGATGGGGCAGCGCAAATATGGCGGCCCTCCGCCAGAGTCCGTCTACACCGGCCCCCAGCCCACCATCGGCACAGAGGTAACACACTGCAGCTGATTTGTACTCTTTATGCAAGGGGTTAAAATGGAACCGGTGCATTTGGGAACATTTAGCACCTTAAAGGGGAACAGTAGTTCAGAGTGGTTTGGTGTGAAACGCTCCGTTCTAGAGAAACTTACCGAGTCAGAACTGTTCACAGTGGTGGTGATAGGAACCAGACGTCTGAAGAGATCAATGCCTTTGAAAGTTCCCTCACAAAAAGTTATGCAGCCTGATGTCCGACATGCTGTTTTATAATAAGGTTTTGGCTTAAAGTGTATTTTAATCCATTCATGGCAGAGGGGTGCATTATAATATTCCCACTATTTCCCATCATCAACATTCCATATAGACTCCGAAGACTCGTGTAGGTTCACTGGTGGTTCTGGATAGTAAATAAAATGTCTATATCTGTGTTGTAGTCATGGCGACCCCTGGTTCCTATCAGCACCACTGTAAAGAGATCTGAACCATTTCACACCAAACCACTCTGAATCTCTCTGATTACACCTCACTCACTGAATTATGGGGGAATTTAGGAAAAACTGGTGGAGTTCCCCTTTACGCCTGGTTTATTTCTGACCCTGATTCAAATAAGTGCTCAAACCTGATATAGATGTGGACGATGTGGCACAGTGTGATCACAACACTTCCAAGAGTTTTTGGTAACACTTTTCTGTATGATACAGTTCGTAAAGCTACATGACACCTACATAAGCTTGTCATGACAACTGGCATAACCCTACATAATTGTTTATTCCTGTAGGCATTATTCGCTATAGGCCTAAATGTTACATTTTCCAATTTTGATCAAAGTAGACTTCATGACAGACGACTCCTATTGGAATAAGCATTAGTAAACGTTTATGTAGGGTTATGTCAGATGTCATGACAAGCTTATGTAGGCTTTTATTTAAATAACATACTATACTGCACACAGCAGTGCGTATTAACCCAAAACCTACACGCTTACATAGGGTTTGTTCAGTAAAGAAAATGGTTCAGCATATACGACACACACTCTGTCAGGTTACTGAATCCTTTAAGAAGGATAATCATTCAAAGGGTTGTTTGAGTGTTCTTGGTTCTATTTAGAACCGTTTTCTTAAGAACCCACTGTTTTGTAAGAGTACCGCGCGTGTGAATCTGTCTAAAGGCGCATGGTGAGCCGGTAACAGGAGCCGATTTATGGGAATTTGTCAGATTAACTCCAGTTCAGCGTGTCTGAGCGGAGTTCTGGGTTCCTGAAGGTTTTCCGAGTGATGTGGGTTCTGTCCTGGAGTAACTCCGTTACGATGACGGTTCACCGCTCAGATCTGACTGGAAGGCCTTTGCAAAAAAACAAAACCACTTTGTCTGTTTGTGGCAGACGTTGCCTGGATGTTCCTGTAGAACCTGTTGTCCTCAGTGGTTCTGCGGCTTCAGGTGACAAACTTGCAGGAAGCGGTTTAGTGTTGTGCTTATTCAGGCTGGATGGTGGAAGTGTTGATTGATTGATTAGGAGTTCATTAACCCTCAGAACCACCGGTGGTTCCAAAAAACAGTTTGTCATGTTCTTTGCTTCATAACTTTCGTACTTCATAAGCTTCATTCTAAAGGTGGGGGTCGTATGAGGCTGTAACTGTCTTCTTTCCAGTCAAATAGATGGTGATGTAATTTTAAACCCTTATAATAAAAGAAGCTGAACTCTTTTTTTTTTTTCTACTGAACGTCGACCCATTTTTCCCCAAATCTGAGCTACAAACTGGATCTCAGATGGCGTCTCTTCAGTGATCTGCACTGTAAAAGTTATTTTTATTAAAATAATACAAAGAGCCTTAAGATTTTTGGCTTCCAGCAGTGAATTGTAAGCATGTAGTGATATGTGTGATCATAAAACACGTTCTGTTAATCTGAGGGGAGCTTTTACAAAAAAAAAAAAAATTTACATTTATGTCATGCAGTTACTGAATAATTTGCCTTACGATTTGGGCATGTAAATTCAGATGGAAAAAGCAAAATATGCCCCTAAGCGTAAGAGGTTAATAGTCAGTTAACTTTTGTTTTGAATAACTCGTGCGTAACTGAATTGCAGTTTGTTCTGGGCCACAGATCGATTAGTGTATTTATATAGAAACACACACTCTTAAAGATACTGAACACATTCTGACTCTAACTACACGGGTGTAGTGTGTCTAGTTACTTTTAACACACAGTATGACGCAAAGGCCCTGTCCCATTTCTCATTTTCACCCCTGCCCCTTGTTTTCGAGTATTGCCCCTTGTTACTGAGTTACAGGGTAGTGGTTGAGATCTTCCCTCTGAAATGGGACCCTCAAATAAAAAGAGCATCACTTCATTAACAGCTACCAGCGCTGCTCTGTAGGCGACCCTGCCAGTCAGAATGTAAATGTAACCATTTAAGGTGGAACTGGACGTTTAGCTAGCTAGCTGCCCAGACGTCAGCACTACTGGTGATTTGTTTGCTTAAATACACTGAAACGACATTAAACTAAGATTAATACAATGGTATTGTGATTTTTTTTTTATTTATTTATTTTTTTTAACAGAGAAAATTCACATGTATTCATTGTGTGAAATTTTCAGTAATCATTATTTTGTTCATATTTAAAATCTGCCATCTAAAACTGACCTTGTGAGCACATTGTCTGTTCTTTATGCATCACAATATGCTGTTTGTTCCATATCGCCCTCCCCTCAGAACGAACGCGAGCAAGTAAACAGTCTGCCAGGTACGTCGTAGGTAGTGTCTTGTTTCTCGTTCGAGCTGCGCGAGTTTGGTCAGGGGGCTTGTTTAATGATGGAGGAAGCTCTTTTATTGAGGGAAGTTCTCTGCAGTTAATTTGCATCTAATATATTTGACTTTGAGAGATTTACAGCCTGCATTCGTCACTCGGCGCAGCAGATCAACACACATAATCAGACATTTTCAGCTCGACAGATTGGACTTGAAATCTTTAGCTTCACAAATGAGTATTAATGGGATTCAACACAAAGTATTTTTTTTTTACATTTGAAATGGCAAAATTGAAAATGTGGAATCGCTGTCACTTCATATTTGTCTTGTAAGCAAACGTCAAGTGTTTAATTGCAAACCTCTCGGCTATGTTTACATTACCAGCTCTCTAAAAAATGATGGTTCTGTAGTAAAGCAGATGGTTTCATATGGAACCATGAACACCAAAAAAAAAACCCTTTCTGTGATTAAACGGTTCTTTGCATGGTGAAGGGGTTCCTCAGTTTGATGGAGAATGTGCGAATGCTTATTTCAACAGGCGTCATTTGCTTTAAAGGTTACATCTGCCAGCTTTGATCAAAGTTAGTTAAAGCAGCCCTTGTGACAGGTGACGCCTACTGGAATACGCACTCATAAACAGTTATGTAGGGTTACATCAGTTGTCATGACAAGCTCTTGTAGGTGTCATGCAGCCTTGTGAACAGAACCCTCCAGTGAAGTGTTACCGAAAGATCAAATCAGAGCAAAAAAATTGGAATTTCTGCCATGAGATTGGAAACGTGAGCCTAGCCTTAGGTAAGACAATGGAAAGCGTGCGATCAGTCAGCTGTGTTCAGATTACTGACTGTGCTCGTTTTTGTGTCTGTACAGATTTTTGTGGGTAAAATCCCGCGGGATCTGTTCGAGGATGAGCTGGTGCCCCTGTTTGAGAAGGCCGGGCCGATCTGGGACCTGCGTCTGATGATGGACCCGCTGAGCGGTCTGAACCGCGGATACGCCTTCGTCACTTTCTGCACTAAAGAGGCCGCGCAGGAGGCCGTAAAGCTGGTCAGTTCATGTTTGTCGTTTAACTGCTGTAAAGGTGTAGCTGTTAAAGAGATGTTCATGTATAGAGCTGTTAAACTGTACGAGACGCCCGTCGCTCTAATCATACTGAATTAACTTTTCTCTCTTCAGTGTAACAATCATGAAATCCGACCAGGAAAGCAGATCGGAGTGTGTATATCAGTGGCCAACAACAGACTATTCGTGGGCTCCATTCCGAAGAGCAAGACGAAAGAACAGATCGTAGAGGAGTTCGCTAAAGTCACAGGTGAGTGAAGGAGTTGGCAGCTGCTGGGTGAGGTATCGCCTGCATCGCACGACTGTTTTTAACGGTATTGGTACGTAATGAACGCTGTGTGCGAACGCTATATTCCCTTTAAAAGCTAATCAGTGTCCCTGTTCTGCCACGCAGATAGGAATACATACTGTAGGGTCCCCTTTGATGTAATGTTGAGGGAAAATGGTCAAAGCAAGCTGTAATAGGTGTGTAAGATGTTGATTTAGTGTGGAGTGGCGGCCCTTTGAGCAGCAGGTTCATTCATTTTATTAATGCTAATTTATCTTGAGTAAAGTTAATTAACTTTTATTTATGGTAATTAGGCCTGGCGATATCTAAAAAAAAATTAGCACCATATTTTGTAGTTAAATTTGTGAATGTGATATTTGCAAAATGTTGCCTCTTTAAATGTAATCATTACCAAAAAAAACCCAACCTGAATAAAACAAGCCACAGATTATATAATCTGTACTCATAGGTTTTGATAGTATTGTTAAATAATTAATTATTATTTTTATTCAGCGTTTCACCTCCAGCGCTGCACTAAATCTGAATGAATGAGTAATAATCCTGTGTGGTGGGTTTTATTTATTTATTTTGCTTTGGTTGTTCAGTGCTCTTAAAATATTTACAGTAATCACGATATGCTCTTAAAGGCATATTGTGACCTAATTCGTCAGGATAATGAATATCGTAATGTTGCCCAGCCCGACTGAAAAGTTGCCACTGATACTGATCAGTTTTCATTCTGTTTTTGGGTGCGACTTATTTCCGTCTCTGTCTTCAGAGGGCCTGAGTGACGTAATCCTGTACCACCAGCCAGACGATAAGAAGAAGAACCGAGGGTTCTGTTTCCTGGAGTATGAGGACCATAAGACGGCGGCGCAGGCCCGGCGCAGGCTGATGAGCGGGAAGGTTAAGGTTTGGGGCAACGTGGTTACGGTGGAGTGGGCCGACCCCATTGAGGACCCCGACCCAGAGGTCATGGCCAAGGTGATTTGGTGCCACAGTGTTCTCAGAGTGTCTGCTTAATGTGTGTCAGAGTGGAATTGATGTGCTTGAGGATGGTGGGAGCTGTGGACTCACCAAAAAGGACACAAGAACGACCCATTCAGTTCTTAACCGAAAGAGTAAAGTTGAAATGCCAGAGATTTTGAGTAAAATTAAAAATTAGAGGATGGCAGATGTCCAGGAGCAGGGGTGGAAAATACTACGGTAGAGGATGGCAGATGTCCAGGAGCAGGGGTGGAAAATACTACGGTAGAGGATGGCAGATGTCCAGGAGCAGGGGTGGAAAATACTACGGTAGAGGATGGCAGATGTCCAGGAGCAGGGGTGGAAAATACTACGGTAGAGGATGGCAGATGTCCAGGAGCAGGGGTGGAAAATACTACGGTAGAGGATGGCAGATGTCCAGGAGTAGGGGTGGAAAATACTACGGTAGAGGATGGCAGATGTCCAGGAGTAGGGTTGGAAAATACGGCAGTAGAGGATGGCAGATGTCCAGGAGCAGGGTTGGAAAATACGGCGGTAGAGGATGGCAGATGTCCAGGAGCAGGGTTGGAAAATACGGCAGTAGAGGATGGCAGATGTCCAGGAGCAGGGTTGGAAAATACTACGGTAGAGGATGGCAGATGTCCAGGAGCAGGGTTGGAAAATACGGCGGTAGAGGATGGCAGATGTCCAGGAGCAGGGTTGGAAAATACGGCAGTAGAGGATGGCAGATGTTCAGGAGTAAGACCCATTTAAAAACAAGAACTGACCCAAACTAGAACCCCTAGAACGTAGGATCCTGGGTCTGTTTCAGGTTCTGCCTGGCTGAGAGAACCGCAGGGGGCAGTTTTTTGTTTTTGCTAATTTTACACCACCCTAAAGTTAATCATTAGACTAACTAGCAAGCGAGCATGCTTATCAAACTCGTTACAAAGCAGAGCTCTGAGATTAGTGATAGAGGCGGTTTCTATCCAGACGTTTCCCAAATGCTGTTGACTAAATTTTGGCAGAAGAAAATCGCTGGGTTTCCATCCACCATGGATGCTGTCCTGGATGCTGTAGGCTCCCGTGATCAGGGGCTGCATCGGAACGAGCGAGGTGGACAGATGAATGTAGTGCGGTTCTAATCCCCGCTGTTTGTCTCTCTCAGGTGAAGGTGTTGTTTGTGCGGAACCTGGCGAACAGCGTAACGGAAGAAATACTCGAGAAAGCCTTCAGCCAGTTCGGGAAGCTGGAACGGGTTAAGAAGCTGAAGGACTACGCCTTTATTCACTTCGACGAGAGGGACGGCGCCGTCAAGGTAACGGAACATCTCGAGCAGTTCGTCTGACTGATCAGCGCCGTGACTGATCACTGCAGGAGAACTGTGTCTGATAGCTGTAGTGGCAGATTAACCCTAAACAGGAGTTATCAGTAAGATTGAGTTATGTACCTTCATTAACTGATAATTGAATGATACCTTCGTTTGAGTAGAACAATTATTTAAAATATTCTCTCAGTAAATACATTAATAGAATTCTATGAAGACATTTTTTTTGTCCACAATTTTAATTTATAACTTGCGTATGTTATATTCATTTTTAAATGTTATTTCGTAATTCGTTGCAAAAAGTTGCAATTATTATTTTATTTTTTTTTTTAAATTAACTGAGTCTGTCTAAATGTTAATTTTTTGAGGCTTTTTAATATTAAAGCAATTAGGTTGACAAATGAAATTTGAATGTCCATTCACGGGCCTCTGTTTTGCTGTGTAATTAAAATTATGCCCTACGTTTGATTTCCATTCTTTTGATTTTTCTTTCTGATTAAAAATTGTGATGTAAAAATGAAAGGACTGTATGCAAAATAACATCTTTATTAAATTCAAACCATAAAGTCTCTTCTATTTACAAACACACGTTTCCATGCAGTTTCTCTGCTTCAAAGAGCTCCAGGTCAGAAATACTGAAATTACAGCCTGATGTGTTCCTGCGGGTCATCACTGCAGCCTTTCAGTGTTAACCCAGCGGTCAGAGTGAAGGACGGCAGGTGTTGAGTTTGGTGTGTCTCCCTGTTCTGCAGGCGCTGGAGGAGATGAACGGGAAGGATTTGGAGGGTGAAAACATCGAGATCGTCTTTGCGAAGCCCCCTGACCAGAAGAGGAAAGAACGCAAGGCCCAGAGGCAAGCAGCCAAAACGCAGATGTAAGCAGCCCTGCGTTGTGTTCAGTTTCAGCCTTAAAGGGCAAAGCTAATGTGGCTAACAGTGAATTAAGCAGATAGTGAGGCTTTCTTGTGCTGTTAGCCTCGTTAGGCTACGTGTATTTCAGTGTTGGCTCACTGATGGACAGATGTGCTTATCGATCCTACAGCGCTCGTATCAAAAGGCCTGTTTTATAATATACATGTGACATTTATAACATCGGCCGGCCCCCATCGCCGGGCGCTTCCGCAGTTTTCCTGCAAATTTTCCCCCCTCTCTCTCTCTCCGCCTATCACTTTAAGGAAAATTTAAAAAAAAAACACAAGCTCCGGCCTGAAAAGGCTTTTAAACTTTATTATTGCTAAAAATCAGACCTAAATACAGTATTAATGTATCGCTAAGAAGGTTGTAATTCTGCCTGTACCAAACTGCACAGGACACTTTTTTATTATTATTTTTATTTATTTATTTTATTTATTTATTTATTTTTTTGCGATGGATATTTGTCTTGCTTTCCCAATATTCTAACTTTTCCACCTCGTAGTGTAAAACTAATCTTGCGATTTTATTATTTTATTTTTTGGGGGCCTTTTTCTTTTTTCCCTCCCCTTTTTTAAAAATCTGCAACAAACTTGTGGATGGTGTGTGCTGGAAGTTATCTATTATAATAATTTTAATTTATTCTAATTTATTTTTTGTAGTGTTTATGGTTTTGGCTTTATTTTTTTAATCTCATGAGTAATCAATTTTAAAAGACAAAGCACCACTACATATTTTGTCTCTGAAAATACTAATAAAACATATTTTAAAAAATGAACATGAAATAATTTCTATATGCTGTTTTAAGCTGATAGTTACCGAAAACCGGACGTGAGCTGGCAGATACTGGGGGCCGCCCATCATTCTAGCAGTACCGGCACCAAAGTGAACAAAAACGTCATTATTGAAAATATTTCTTTAAAGGCAAACGAGTGTTGGACGTTAATCCGTTTGAGGTGGCCGATAATTGGGCTGCCTGGGCTTTACTACATCGTTGTTTGTTTGCTGTTAGGAGTAGTTTAGAGGTAGTGATGTTAATTGGGACGTAACAGCGAGTCTTTAGTAGGTATTGAACCGAGTCTGATTTCTCTGCCTGACGATGTGACATCTCTCCTCCTGAAAAGGTGATGTTAATGAGAGCTAACAAGCTTTTTTTGCCCCACAGGTATGACGATTACTACTACTACGGCCCCCCTCACATGCCCCCGCCCACCAGGGGGCGCGGCAGGGGCGGGCCCCGGGGCGGCTACTCCTACCCTCCCGACTACTACGGCTACGAAGACTACTACGACTACTACGGCTACGATTACCACAACTACCGGGGCGGCTACGACGACCCGTACTTCGGCTACGAAGACTTCCAGCCGCCGGCGCCCCGGGGAGGCCGCGGCGGGGTTAGGGGCGGAGCCAGAGGGGGCGCGTCCCCCGCGCGAGGCAGAGGAGGGGCGGGGCCCCCGCGGGGCAGGGCGGGGTTCCCCCAGCGCGGAGGAGGCGGAGCCGTCCGCGGGCCGAGGGGAGGAGGAGTCGGAGTCGGAAGAGGAGGGCCGGCGGTGAGGGTCCGCGGGGTACGTGGTGCGCGGGGTGGACGCGGTGGAAATATAGGAGGCAAGCGCAAAGCCGATGGCTACAGCCAGCCCGATTCCAAACGGCGCCAGACCAATAATCAGAACTGGGGCTCGCAACCTATTGCTCAGCAGCCGCTGCAAGGTGGTGATCATTCTGGTAACTATGGTTACAAATCTGACAACCAGGAGTTTTATCAGGATTCTTTTGGGCAACAGTGGAAGTAGAGGAGAAAACAAAAGAGAGAGAAAAGAAACAGAGAAGTAGGGCTTTGTTTTTCTTTTTTATATACTATTATATATCAAACACTTTTTATAAAGACTTCATCTGATTGGGCCCCACAGCGTCTCTCTCTCTCTCTCTCTCTCTCTCTCTCTCTCTCTCTCTCTCTCTCTCTCTCTCTCTCTCTCTCTGTTATGGTTACTCTCCATCTCTTCTCTCTCTGTCTGTTCAGCAGTCTTTTGTTCTTGCTTCTCTTTCTCTGTCTCTCTCCACCCTTTCTCTCTGCTAAGCTTTTCTTTCTTTCTCTCCACCTCTAACTCGTCTTTCTGTCTCGCTCTGTCTTCGTGTCAAAATTGGTGAAAGTTTTGGCTGATTTTCTTGTATATATTTTTAACGATCCGTTTTGGACTTTGGAACCGTAGTCACACTCCCACGTGCTTCTTTTTCCGTACTGGTTTTTTGTTTTATTATTAATTTTTTTTTATTTGTTTTACAAGCAATTCCAATTCCTTTTAAACAGATTTGAAAAAAAATATATATAAAAAAAAAAAAATTTGCTTCCTGTGCTGAATCTGTCTATTTGGCTCTGTAGTATCATGTATGTTCATAGCAAGTTTTGGTCTCCATGTTTTTAAGTAGGTAAAAACAACAAAAAAAATGTCTCAAACATTGTTTTCAATCATTAAAAAAAAGAAAAATGAAAAGGAAAAAAAATTCAAACAAAAAAAAATGCTATTTGTATGTTACGGAAGGTAATGCTAGTAAAATAGCGTGAATTGTTTTTTTGGGGAAAAAAAAAAGAGGACATTGGTCCTGATTTTGTTTTTTGGCTTTACGTTTTGGCTTGTACTCTTTGCTGTTTTGTCTGCTCAAATAAAAACATACACGCACCCGTGTACAAAAACTCAAATTGTGTTTCAAATTCATGTTTCGGCAAATTCTCTCTTCAAATTGCTCACAAATTTTTAAAGCTCCTGGAAGAAAAAGGACGTAAGGTTTGATTATTTTAGTCTCTCTCTCTCTCTCTCTCTCTCTCTCTCTCTCTCTCTCTCTCTCTCTCTCTCTCTCTCTCTCTCTCTCACTGTATCTCTCTCCCTCTCTCTCTCTCTGTATCTGTCTCTCTCTCTCCCTCTCACCCCTTCTCTATTTCTCTCTCTCTCTCTCTCTCTCTCTGTATCTCTCTCCCTCTCTCTCTCTCTGTATCTGTCTCTCTCTCTCCCTCTCACCCCTTCTCTCTCTCTCTCTCTCTCTCTCTCTCTCTCTCTCTCTCTCTCTCTCTCTCTCTCTCTCTCTGCATGACTCCACAGGTTGTTTATTTAAACCCCCACCCAGTGCCCCAGCTCCTCTCAGTGTCATCTACACTGACACCAACAGCCCTGTACAGAACTTCAGGCATCCCTGGTTTATATATATGTATATGTTGTTCATATAACAACATATATTCAATATACAAACATCTTTTCCAAGTGTAAATACATTTAAACTGTAGTGCAGTGATTCCCAGTCCGGTCCTCGGGGTCCTGCAGACGGTCCACACTTTCCCTCCATCTTTAATCAGATTGGAGCAGGAATGTGGACCGCACGTGGGGCCCTGAAGGCCGAGCTGGGACCCACAGCTCTAGTGGTTCTCAAATCCAGTCCTGGATTTTGTAAACGCTGGTAGGTATTAGAAACCAGGAGGCCAGTCAGCTCAGTCAGTAGTTCACTTTAACTAACAGTGATCACAAAGTCCAGGACCGGAATGTGGATTTCAGGGTGCGGATCTGGAGAGCTCTGCTCTACAGGGAACACATCCCTGCATGTTTTAATCCAGTTAGTGTTTATTTGCGGAAACAAACTGGGAAAAATCTCTCAAATTCACTGTATTTTCTTTGTAGTCGTATTTTTTCCTACCTCTGTTTTACCACCCACTCTTTTAAGGCTTCTCTCCATCTGTCCTTATTCTTTTTCCTTCTTTCTGTCCTGTGTTTCTCACTACTTTTCTGTTTGTCCAAATTGGCGGACCTCTCCTCCTGTTTCTCCCGCATATTTTTAATGATTGTTGTTCGAGGTGAACAGCAGTGCAGCTGTTTTTTCTATTTATTTGCCAAATTTAATAAGTAAATAAAAACAAAGTGTGGTGCGCCACGTTCAGCAGTGAACAGGTTGTGCACTGAAGTTCAGCACCGATGTTAAGTGTGTTCCCTGCAGGCTACTCATTAAATTAGTTTGGAGAAATTAATGAACAAAACGCATGCCATTTGACCGGGGTTGCCTTAACTTTTGCACAGGACTGTATCCGGACGCTCAGCGGCTCGTTCATCATTTGCCTCGATTCCTTTCGGTTTGGAGGCCTGTCGGCAGTAATAATCACTCTGATTGGTTGGTGTTTGGAGGGGTTTTGTTAGAGAAATCTCTCTGACGGAGGGCGAGCTGGTTGGACTGAGCCACGCGTTCCAGAGCGCAGTTTAAACAAACAAAACAATAAAAGATACAGAAAAATGAGCAGCTCCTGATTCCACACCTGGCCCTGGAGGCTTTAGGTGTCTTCACTGTTGCACGTCTGTCCCAAAATCTGCCAAATTAAAGTGACGCGATCGCCATGCATGAGTCATCTGTTGGACTTTTATTTTCTCAAAGCACAAATATTTTATTATTTAAATACAGCTGAACAGAATCCTTCCAGTTTTACCCACTGCCCTTTTGATCACACTAATAATAATAATGATAACAATAAAAGTCATAATAATAAATTAAATAGCACTTCTGCTTGTGTCCACAGGGGGGCGCCTGATGTTGATTTGCATGTAGTGTTTGCAATGAATAAATGCTTTTTTCACTTTTTTTTTTTCTTTTTTTCCCCTTTTCACTTTATAATTTAACATCTTTAGTGTTTTTTTTTCCTCTTTGATGTTCTGAGGGGTCGTCAGTTTTGACCGTAGTTCAGTGCAGTTTTATTTTCCTGCCTAAACACCTGATTCAGCTCTAAAACTGATCAGCAGGTTCAGTTGAAGCAGGAAAACCAACAAACTGCTTGTTTTGTTCATTTTTTAAGGTCTAGAATTGATGATCCCTCGTTTGTGTTGTCGCTGTCATATCAGAACCTCACCCCACTTTTTATTATTATTATTATGAACACTGTTCCTGTCTTACGTTTCGTGATCAAATAGAAACGACCTGGTCCAAAATGCCTCAGAATGTGGATTAGATCATCTTCAAACTATTTTATTTCTTTATCTTAGTTACTTTAATTATTTTTGACCCCCCTTTTTCCTTCTGAGTCCTCGTTTCTGTGTCCGGGTGTTCGGTTTTGTTAGGACAGCGACGCTGTGACTGTGTTGATTTAGTCTGATGTGAGGTTCTGTCTAATCCGTGTTCCTTTTGTTACCCGACGAGCAGGGCAAGGGGCTGGAGAGTGGTCCTGAACAGTCCCTCTGAGCACGGAGCGCCCCTCGCTGAGCCGCTCTCCGCCGGACAGCGCCCCCCGAAGGTCAGCGGTAAGGTCCAGAACACTGCGGTCCACTCCTGTTCCTGCCTTACGGAGAGATCATGACTGCTCATGACTGCCACCTAAGATCACCACAGCAGAGGCTTCGTCTACTTTTACTATTTAATGCTGTTTTTTTTCTTTGTTATTTTTTCCCCCCAATTTTTTTTATTTACATAATTGGTGACCTGTTTGTGCCCCGTGTGCTAAAAGTCCCCAAAGAAAACAGTCTGCCGTTCAGAATTCACAGTTACTGAAGGAGCTGCTGTTGTTTGCCCCAAGCATTCTTATCCTTTATGTAAAAAAAAGAATTTTTTGCACTTTTTGTATGTTTTTGTAGTTTTGTTTTTGTTTTTATGATATTTTGCAGGTGTGAACCACCTGGCCTGTTCGGTCAGGCATTCCAGGAAAAAAAAAAAGATATGGTTCATTTAAGAACCTTTAGTTTTGCTTTTGTTGTTGTTGGTGTTGTTATTGTTAAAGGAGAAGTTCACAAAAAAACAAATTTGCACACTTTCCCAGCTTTACATCATCAGCCGAGAGAAGTTTGTCGTCTTTAGTCTTAGCACTGGAGCTACGAGGCTACTGCTAAAGCTAATACCCCTCCAGAGCCAGTTAGCACTGCGCTGCTCTCAGCCTTTGACAGTTTCCTGCTCTGGGCACCGTGACTGCCTTCTGGAGCGAGACTGTCGCTGGATTATACGTTTTCGTTGACTCTTCTAGTAGCTTTTAAGAACACAGAGTTTGTTTTGGTAGCTGCCCCGTTTAGAAACACGTCTGCCTCTGAACCTCACGGCAAAAGAGCTTTCTGTGGTTGATGTGTCAGTCAGACAGCCCTTGCACACACTGAGCACTTTATTAGGTACACCTATCACCTATGTTTCTACACTCGCTCTCTGTTAATCAGCTCCACTGACCACATAGTTTCACTCTGTAGTTCTACAGTTACAGACTGTAGTCCATCTGTTTCTCTGTATACTCCGTTACCCTGTTCTTCAGTGGTCAGGACCCCCACAGGACCCCCACAGAGCAGGTATTTGGGTGGTGGGTCATTCTCAGCACTGCAGTAACACTGACGTGGTGGTGGTGTGTTAGTGTGTGTTGTGCTGGTACAAGTAGATCAGACACAGTAATGCTGCTGGAGTTTTTAAACACTGTGTCCACTCACTGTCCACTCTATTAGACACTCTTACCTTGTCAGTCCACCTTGCAGATGTAAATTCAGAGACGATAGCTCATCTGCTGCTGCACAGTTTGTGTTGGTCATCCTCTAGTCCTTCATCAGTGGTCGCAGGATGCTGCCCACAGGACGCTGTTGGCTGGATATTTTTGGTTGGTGGACTATTCTCAGTCCAGCAGTGACACTGAGGTGTTTAAAAACTCCAGCATCTCTGCTGTGTCTGATCTACTCGTACCAGCACAACACACACTAACACACCACCACCACGTCAGTGTTACTGCAGTGCTGAGAATGATCCACCACCCAAATAGTACCTGCTCTGTGAGGGTCCATGGGGGTCCTGACCACTGAAGAACAGGGTAAAAGGGGGCTAACAAAGTATCAGAGAAACAGATGGACTACAGTCTGTAACTGTAGAACTACAAAGTGCACCTATATAGTAAGTGGAGCTGATAAAATGGACAATGAGCGTAGAAACAAGGAGGTGGTCAGAATGAAGTGCTCAGTGAGGGTGTGTTAGTATTGGCGCTCGGTATCAGCAGACGATCAGGTATCGGAAGGGAAGAAGGGACATCGATACATCCCAACACAACATAATCCGCCTACTCATGGTCCCTGAACAGCCCGGTTACCAGTTAGCACCATGCTAATGCTGATAACCTTCCGTTACTTGTTAGCTGTGTTCGCCTCGCAGCTCCAGCGCTAAAGCTGGACGTGTCTCGGCTGCTGGACTACATTTGGGACAACGGTGGGGAAACTGTGAACTAGATTTCTGGGTTTTTGGGTGGACTGCTCCTTTCTAAAGGGTCTGTTAACTACCTCAGTGTGGAGGCGGGAGACTACCCTCTCTAATGTAAATAAACACGGAGACTCGTACCGAGCGCAGGGCTTTTCTACTCGACTTTATGCACAAAGGCGACAGCGGAGCCGATCTACTTTAGTGTATTATAGTTTTATAACGCTGTTCCGATGATGCTGCCAGCACTCAGAGTGTGTCTGTGTGTGTGTGCTGACTGTGTGTGTGTGTGTGTGTGTGTGTGTGTGTGTGACACTCAGATGATGAGTCTAAACTAAGCCTTGCCTTCGTCTCCTCTCAGCTCTAAAAGCTGCCCCCCCCCCCCCCCCGAGAGGTGTCTAGTTACTGGTTGTATTATAGTTTAGGACATGTTTCCCTTTTTTGTTTATTCTTTATTTTTTTGGTAAAGCTTTGAACATAAAGGATAAAAATACTTTTTTTGAGAAGCTTTAGCAGATTCTTTTTCCCCCCTCTGCAAATCAATGAGTCTTAATTATTATTTTTTAACAACCTGTTTTCATGGTTGCAAATGTAATTATTTGGAAAATGTTCACATCCTGTTTGTTTGTTTGTTTACCAGGGTCTACTTTACGTAAACATGCACAACATGACTGAAGCACCGTCTATCTTAAAGGGTAAGTTCAGCATCGTCAGCTCGTCTGGTTACAGACACCGAAACCAGAAACTTCGGAGCTTTACAGAGCGCTGGTTTAAAATCCCACTCAGCCTAATGAGAAACTGTAGAACAGACTCAGTTTATATCACAATACCTACATTTAGAGTCGGTTATTCATTCAGCCTAATGAGAAACTGTAGAACAGACTCAGTTTATATCACAATACCTACATTTAGAGTCGGTTATTCATTCAGCCTAATGAGAAACTGTAGAACAGACTCAGTTTATATCACAATACCTACATTTAGAGTCGGTTATTCATTCAGCCTAATGAGAAACTGTAGAACAGACTCAGTTTATATCACAATACCTACATTTAGAGTCGGTTATTCATTCAGCCTAATGAGAAACTGTAGAACAGACTCAGTTTATATCACAATACCTACATTTAGAGTCGGTTATTCATTCAGCCTAATGAGAAACTGTAGAACAGACTCAGTTTATATCACAATACCTACATTTAGAGTCGGTTATTCATTCAGCCTAATGAGAAACTGTAGAACAGACTCAGTTTATATCACAATACCTACATTTAGAGTCGGTTATTCATTCAGCCTAATGAGAAACTGTAGAACAGACTCAGTTTATATCACAATACCTACATTTAGAGTCAGTTATTCATTCAGCCTAATGAGAAACTGTAGAACAGACTCAGTTTGTATCACAATACCTACATTTAGAGTCGGTTATTCATTCAGCCTAATGAGAAACCGTGGGCTATGATGTTAGCTTAGCTAGCTGGCAAAGCTAGAACAGCTGGAGAACCTTTTGCCAAGCCTGTCAATCAGATGTTAACAAAAATCAGATAAACCTCCACCTGATTTACACGCTTACAAAAGATGGTTTTTCAGTGGTTATTTAATAAAAATGGTTCTGTATGGTTCTACACGAACACTAAAAGAACCCTTTGCATGACTAAAGGGTTCTTTGCATCATGAAAGGGTTCTTGTGATTGAGAATGTGCTGCAGATTGTTCTATATAGAACCCTGTTGAAGAGGGCTCTATATAGTACCCAAAAGTGTTCATCTCTTGTTACAAGTTTGACATCATAACGGTAGAAGAACCCTTTTTGGTGCTGCATAGAACCATATACAGCACATTCTCCATCAGTTTGAAGAAGAACCGTTTAACGATGCAAAGAACCCTTTAATCATGCGATAGGTTCCTCTGAGTGTTCACGGCTCTATACAGAACCATTTTCTTTACTGCAGAACCCTTGGAGAACCATCGTTAGGAGTGTGTCCTAACAGTGTGACCTCTCACCCACATACAGAATAAAGGTCTTTCTAAATGAATAACCGGCTCTAAATGGAGGAATTCGGACATAAACTCATGTTCAGATCAGAGGGTGCTAGAAAAGCAGGATTTTCTCAGTTAGCCAGATAATTTAATCCCGAACTCGAACGTCCAGCAGAGTCGTTTGTGTTGAGTACGTTTGTCTTTAATAACCCGGTTTTAAATGAACTCTAACTCTGCTGTATGAAATGCCAGGTCCAGCCTGTCGGCTCATCGTTGAACGCGGTTCATGCTAACGTTGCTAACAGTGATTGGAAGCTAGTAGTCACCGATTAGCATGATGTCATTTGGAAGCTCTCATCTACTGTTAGCAGCGTTAGCATTATGAGCTGAGCATCACTCAGACTCTTAAACTCTTAGAAGTGTCTTTAAATCTGTGTCCAGGCGTCCAAGAGAGCTCAGTGCTCCTTGATCTCTCTGGGTGGGCAGGGCGGCCCCCCGTCCCCCCCGTCACTCAGCCTGATGCTGGTCAGCGCAGGCATCTGTTAGCTGACGTGACAGATGTGGTGGTTAGCGTCTCCTCCGAGCGCGTTCAGCTGCACAGTGACGCTGCGTTAGACTGTGTTCGCCTTCGCCCTCCTAGCGCTGGTGGAGTTGTGTGATGGGTGGGGGGGGGGTCCGGATTAGTGGGTGGAACTGGATACCACTAAACTGGGGAGAAAACACGAGAAAGAGTCTTTAAATCAGTGCGCGTGATAATGTAGTTTACAGTGACGTGTTTGAACTGAGCAGCGTCGTTCTAGAGCACAAAACCTGAGATTTATTAACATTAAGCCCATTTTTAATCATTTCCTGTCTGCACGTCTGTCCAGATGTGTTGAGGTTTAAAAAATCCAGCTGCTTAAAAGGAAAGACGATGATGTTCTGTGACTTTATTGGAGGAATGTTCGGCGTTTATCTCCAGCATCTGTAACGTTTATTAACGTGGATAACCCTGCAGCGGCCCTTGGGTTTGAGTTTGAGGCTCGGCGGGTTTTCTGTTCTTTTCCGAGTTCAGGGAAACGTGCTGGAGTTATTCATCCTGATAACCGACCGTGCGGTCCCAGTCCCGGTCCCGGTCCAGATCCAGTGACAGAGTTCAGGCTGAAAAGTGCCGTTACGGTGTCTGTAACCAGAGCGCTGCTCACGTGGTTCTGCTGAACGGTCTGTGTATGAGAGGGTGCCTTTTTTTATTCACATTTCAATGCTGTTTAGTGTGAAACACGCAGCACCATGTTGAGCATGTTAGCGTTAGCGTCGTTAGCTAGCTCTCGCACCTGCTTAGCAGGCTTGGAAAGGTACGCTGGACTGGTCTGTATTTACGGATTGTGGCATAAAAATGCTGACAGAGCGTGTCGACTGGATTTTGAACACAGCCGATTTCATCAATACTCCTGATTTTATTTTTCTTTACTTCTTCTTTTGTTTTTCCTTTTCCAAGGATGTGTTGGTTTTAAATGAACTATTGGTGCATAAATGTTTTTTTGCATTCTTGCAAATAAAATGTTTTATACTGTAAACAAAAGGAGTGTTTGAGTTTGATTTGAACCGTGAATTTATCCTGAAAACTGTATTTAAACTTTATATTTATTTATATTTATGGTAATCAATAGGTGACAGGTGACGTTTTCTGTGTGCGCGTGGGTCCTCATTGTTGATTTACTGCTTTAGAAATATTATGTATGAAATATAACAGCTCTGTTTTGGGTTCTCTTTAAATAAACATGATGTACCTTTAGAGCAGCAACAGGTGCTGTAATTTTGATTATGCCTTTAGAATTGGTGTTAGATTTCTAGTGTACTCAGTAGCAGTAATGCTAACCAATCAGGGCTCAGTAGCAGTAATGCTAACCAATCAGCACTCAGTAGCAGTAATGCTAACCAGTCAGCGCTCAGTAGCAGTAATGCTAACCAATCAGGGCTCAGTAGCAGTAATGCTAACCAGTCAGCGCTCAGTAGCAGTAATGTCGACCAATCAGCGCTCAGTAGCAGTAATGCTAACCAATCAGGGCTCAGTAGCAGTAATGCTAACCAATCAGCGCTCAGTAGCAGTAATGCTAGTCAATCAGCGCTCAGTAGCAGTGATGCTGACCAATCAGCGCTCAGTTGCAGTGATGCCGACCAATCAGCGCTCAGTAGCAGTGATGCTGACCAATCAGCGCTCAGTTGCAGTGATGCCGACCAATCAGCGCTCAGTTGCAGTAATGCCGACCAATCAGCAGTGAATCCTCGTCGTCGAAGGAGAGAAAACATGAAGAAGCTAAATGAAATCGGGACCGACAACAGCAGAAAACCTGACGACCACCGCAGGTTCTACTGCACGCTTGGAGAGGGAGGGGTGAGGGAGGGGAGTCAGCTGGGTGCAGCCTGCAGCTTCACCACTAGATGTCACTAAACACACTGCACCTTTAAGAGTAACACCATAAGGATACCTTCACAGAGGCTTCATAACACATGCATAAACGCTGCATAACATGTACACAACTATTCAGGCACAGCTTATACTGTTCAGTTTATATTGTTTTATAAAGTAAATGACTTACTGACACAACAGGCCGTAAACTGAAGTGCTGGGCGTTTGTTCCATTAACAACACTTTAATAAGCATCATTCCCCGGCTATGGAACGTAGCCTAGTTAAAGGGCAAGTCCAACACCTTTTCAGAATTCCCCAGTAATCCAGTGTGTGAGGTGTAATCAGAGAGGTTCAGAGTGGTTTGGTGTGAAATGGTTCAGATGTCTTTACAGTGGTGGTGATAGGAACCAGGGGTCGCCATGACTACGACACAAATATAGACATTTTATTTACTATCCAGAACCACCAGTGAACCTACACGAGTCTTCTGAGTTTATATGGAATGTTGATGATGAAAATAGTGGAAAATCTGAAATAATCAGTTTTCTTTGGGGACTATTTTGCCTCACAGTGCCCTGCATGTATCCCTCCACCATGAATGGAGTTTAAGTTCTCCAAACTATCATAAAACAGTGTCTCAGTCATCAGGCAGTGAATTCATAACCATTTCATGTAGGAACTTTCTGTGAGGGAGCTTTTAGAGGTGGACGTCTGGTTCCTATCACCACCACTGTGAACAGTCCTGACTCGGTTAGCAAGCAAAGTTTATTTATGTAGCGCTAGAAAACTCCAGCAGTACTGCTGTGTCTGATCCACTCGCACCAGCGCAACACACACTAACACACCACCACCACCATGTCAGTGTTACTGCAGTGCTGAGAATGATCCACCACCCACATAGTACCTGCTCTGTGAGGGTCCATGGGGGTCCTGACCACTGAAGAACAGGGTAACAAAGTATCAGAGAAACAGATGGACTACAGTCTGTAACTGTAGAACTACAGTGAGACTATACGGTCAGTGGAGCTGATACAGTGGACAGTGAGGTGATTTTAATATTATGGCTGATCGGTGAATGTATATAAACGAGCTGCGTCACGCTGCCTTATACGCAGTGGGCGTGACCAAATCTAGAGCCACGCCCTGCTTACATTCGATTGGCACTGCCAGCCGAGTTTATTTGCATACCGCGCGCTGCAGATGTTCGACCGTCCACTGTACAGATTTTTTCCAACGAAATTCGAAAGCAAGAGACGCTTTTTGTTAAGAGTGAATCATAATCTAATGATCCTTAACGAGTTTTTTGTGTTTTTGCTGTCTGGTCCCATTTTGTTTGAGCCCTTTGTAGGGGTCTCAGTGTTTTCCGTTCTAGTTACTAACTTTTGTAAAGTTTAGCTGATCAGTAAAACGTTTCACGATCGCTGAGATCAGAAATGTCCTAAAGCGGTCTAATAAGATGAACAGCGTTGATGTAGAAGATGATTTCAGGTAACCGGTAACGGACATTTCCGAGCTGAAGTGAGCTAGTGTTCACTCCGTGGATTGGAACGCGACCGATTTAGGGCTCAAAGGCGGGGCGCGCTGTCCTCGAATCCGATTGGTGCGCTGAAGCGGAGGCGCGCTGTGATTGGTCAGAGCGGGCGATTTGAAAACATTAGTGTCGTTGGGAGGAAGCGAGCCGGGCGGCGGAGCAGATTATGCGCCTGAAATATTAATAAACAAGTTCTACTCGTAAAACTGTCGAGGGTGAAGTTGAGGCCGCCGCGGACCGATAAGGAGCGGAAGAAGCGATGGATATTAACTTCTATTTACAGTGAGTATCGTAAACAGCCGCGCGTTGGCCTGTAGGCTTTAGTCGGGCTTGAATTTTCCCGTTCCACCTTAAATGGTGCAGCTGTTACATTACGCCATTTAAGGTGGAACGGGAAAATTCGGCTAGGAAGCAAGCGTTAGCCTCGTAGCTTTGACTGATGTTTATTGTTGAAGTTGACGTATTAACGGCTGTTTGTTGATCAGATACAGATGCGATTGTGTTGCACTTTTAAGTGGCTGAATGTTTATTAAAATGATTATTTCTTTTTTAATAGGGGTTTTGAAGACAGTGTCAGCAGTTATGCAGGAGATGACCCTCTTGACCCCTGGGATAAGTGAGTCTTTTTCCCTTTTTTCTCCAGCGTTTAACACGTCAGACATTCAGAGCTGGTGGATTTAAAGGGGAGTTCCACCCATTTTTCAAAATGACCCCGTAATTGAGTGTGTGACATGTAAACAGAGTGGTGGTGACAGGAACCAGGGGTCGCCATGACTACAACACAGATATAGACATTTTATTTACTATCCAGAACCACCAGTGAACCTACACGAGTCTTCTGAGTTTATATGGAATGTTGATGATGAAAATAGTGGAAAATCAGAAATAATAAGTTTTCTTTGGGGACTATTTTGCCTCACAGTGCCCTGCATGTATCCCTCCACCATGAATGGAGTTTAGGTTCTCTAAACTATCATAAAACAGTGTCTCAGTCATCAGACAGTGAATTCATAACCATTTCATGTAGGAACTTTCTGTGAGGGAGCTTTTAGAGGGGTACGTCTGGTTCCTATCACCACCACTGTGAACAGTTCTGACTCGGTAAGTTTCTCTAGAACGGAGCGTTTCACACCAAACCACTCTGAACCACTCTGTTTACATCTGAACTGTATATTATACAGAAATTTTGAAAAATGGGTGGAGTTCCACTTTAAGTCTGGTTTGGAGTGAGACTGTAAGGTGAGTGCTGACTCAGCAGTGAAAGCCTGGAACTCTGACACATTAGTTCACCTGGAGCTCCTTCATTCAGGTGTGTAATGAGCTGATTTGTGTGTTTGTGTGTTTGTTTGTTTGTTTGTTGTGTGCAGGTTTGTGGAGTTTCTGGACTGCAGGATGGCTGAAGAAGAGAAGAGCGGCCTGGTGGTGGTGCTGGAGCGGCTGGTTCAGAGATTCCTGCAGGATAAACGCTACAACAACGACCCCAGATACATCAGACACTGCATCAGCTGGGTCAGCAGGGCGGGGGGTTCTCCTCTCTTCTCTTCTCTTCTCTTCTCTTCTCTTCTCTTCTCTTCTCTTCTCTTCTCCTCCCTTTTCTTCTCCTCTGTTCTCTTCTCCTCTCTTCTCCTCTCTTCTCTTCTCTCTTCTCCTCTCTTCTCTTCTCCTCTCTTCTCTTCTCTTCTCCTCTGTTCTCTTCTCCTCTCTTCTCTTCTCTCTTCTCCTCTCTTCTCTTCTCCTCTCTTCTCCTCTCCTCTCCTCTCTTCTCTTCTCTTCTCTTCTCTTCTCTTCTCTTCTCTTCTCTTCTCTTCTCTTCTCCTCCCTTTTCTTCTCCTCTGTTCTCTTCTCCTCTCTTCTCCTCTCTTCTCTTCTCTCTTCTCCTCTCTTCTCTTCTCTTCTCCTCTGTTCTCTTCTCCTCTGTTCTCTTCTCTCTTCTCCTCTCCTCTCCTCTCCTCTCTTGTCTTATCATCTCTTTCTTTTCCCTCCTTTCTTTTCTTTCTCTTCACTTCTTCTTTTTTCTCTTCCTTTCATTTCTGATGTCGTCTTCCTCCTCTTTTCCTTCCTTTCTTACTTCACCATTAAAGTGAGGTGGAAATTAACAGTAAAATCATATTAGTATTTCTGAGGTGTTCCAGTGATGATACTGAGTTTTAAGGCCTCTCTGATCAGCAGGAAGCCAGAAGCGAGTCGACTAACAGAGAACTGCTCTTGTTTTGTGTCTGTTTGTCTGTCAGTTTAGGTATCTGTTTATATGTTTGTCCGTCTGTCTGTATTTGTCTGTTGATCTTTCTGTCTGTCTCTCTGTCTACGGTGTGTTTATAGGAATGAATGAAGTCTGTAATTCTGTTTATCTGCTCTTAAATACTGTAATTAAAAACCTGAGATGTTCCTCTTTACTAAACCCGAGTCCCTTTATCCTCTCTGCTCTGGAGTTGGGTTATGACTCAATGTGGCCTGATCTCTCTCTCTCTCTCTCTCTCTCTCTCTCTCTCTCTCTGTCTCTGTCTGTCTCTCTCTCTGTCTCTGTCTCTCTCTCTCTCTCTCTTTCTCTCTCTGTCTGTCTCTCTCCTGCAGGCGAGTTATTACTCCGAGCCGATAAAGCTGTACAGTTACGTCCACAGTCGTGGTGTGGGCGCGCGGGCGGCGCCGCTCTACGTGGCCTGGGCTCAGCACTTCGAGCGTAAAGGTCTGATCCCTCAGGCTGAGCAGGTCTACCAGAGAGCCATAGAGAACCAGGCGGAACCACTGGACACGGTCCAGCAGCAGTACAGGTCAGAACAGCTCGGCTAGTCCACCATCACTGACTCACTGACTCGGCCCGGTCCTGCAGCCGGACGCTCTGCGCTGCTAGTGTTACTGACCTGCACGTCTCTGTTATTCTGACCGCTGGGCTGAACTCTGAATATTCCTTCCGCTCTCTGTTCCAGACTGTTCCAGAGCAGAACCGCTAAAAGTCCCGCAGCGCCGTCAGGTAGGAAACAGTAACGAACGCCACGATTAAAAGTGACAAACTCTGACTTTTACTGTACGAATAAATGCTGTTTCACTGTACATACAGTGATAAACAGTTTCTCTACATACAGCAAAAAACCTGTATTTTACACTATGAATGGTAATAAATGCTGTATTTTACACTATGAATGGTAATAAACGCTGTGTTTTACTGTACGCACGGTAATAAATGCTGTGTTTACTATATTAATGGTAATAAATGCTGTGTTTTACTGTACGCACGGTAATAAATGCTGTGTTTACTATATTAATGGTAATAAATGCTGTGTTTTACTGTACGCACGGTAATAAATGCTGTGTTTTACTGTGCGTACGGTAATAAACACTGTTTTTACGGTAATAAACGTTGTTTTACCGTGTGACTCAGATCATGTGAGGAATCCTCTGCAGAATTCTCAGCTGGTTAATCAGAGTCTGCGACAGAGAGAGACGCTCCAGTCGCAGTGTAAGGTACGCAACCGCCGCAGGGTTTCACTTTCACTTAGTAATAATAATAATTATATTAATATTACTGTTATTATTTTACACAGTTTGTTTTATTGGTTTATTTATTCTGTGTTTTAATCTGTTACGGTTGGATCAGACAGTTTTGGTTTATGTATGATTTTATTATGAAGTGTTTTCATTGCTCTGATTTCTCTGCAGGAGCCAGAAAACAGTCCAGCTGACCGAACCGTCCGCATGTAAGACGTTTCCTGTTGACCCTGTTTAAAACCTTTTGATACATGTAAATGAGCTCTGTTCTGATTGGCTGCCCTGTATTGTAGCCTGGGCTGTAATGTGAGGTGACGGTCACCTCGTGGTTGTGACATCACAGACAGTAGTAATGATGTAGCATGTAGACATTGCTAAAATTTCAAAACATACCATTAATTTACCAGGACACACTTTCCATAGATTAACTGTGATGTCACAAAAACCAGCTCGTTTACATGCATCCACATATTCAGCCTGTAGCAGTTTAGCTCCGCCCACTCACACTGAAGTTATATGGAGTGTTTCAGCCCAGACTGCTTTTTTAAATGAGGCACAGCCAATCACAACAGACCTCATTTACATATTGCATGTAAGAAAAATAGCCCGTTTAACTGTAAGGATGAAGAGAGGTTAGAAAACAGTCATGTAGAAATGAATTATGGCTGTTTTTATAGAATATTGGCCCTTTAACACAAACTCTCAGACAGACTGCCTGTAATACAGTGACCGTAACCTCGGTTTGTACAGCACCGAGCTGACGTGTCCGTGTGTCCGTGTGTCCGTCCTCAGAGTCTCTCGTTCGGAGAATAACCCGAAGCCCAGCAGCTGCAGCAGCTCGGTGGAGTGCGTGTCCATGTACTGCGTGAAGGAACTGGAGTGTGAAGGTTCCGAACTTTCCTTCGAGGAGCTCCGAGCTCGGCGATACTTCACCAAGTGCAGACAGCAGGAGCTGCAGAGAAAGCAGGGTCAGTCCAGCACACGCTCAGATATTACGTACGGCTGGAGGGGAACTCCACCAGTTTTTAAAATTTCTGCATGAGGACATTTTCCCAATACTCCATATGTACCACCACGTTTAGTTTTTCTGAGCTTTGCGAACAAATCGGCACAGACAAAATACACCAGCAGAACAGTAGTGCTACACTTCAAGGGGAATTCCACCAAACTTCAAAATCCTCCCATAATTGAGTGTGTGAGACGTCTTTCAGTGGTGGTGATAGGAACCAGGGGTCGCCATGACTACAACACAAAAATCAGAAATAATAAGTTTTCTTTGGGGACTATTTTGCCTCACAGCGCCCTGCATGTATCCCTCCACCATGAATGGAGTTTAAGTTCTCCAAACTATCATAAAACAGTGTCTCAGTCATCAGGCAGTGAATTCATAACCATTTCATGTAGGAACTTTCTACAAGGTTAGGGAACCAGCCTTGTGACCGGAAGGTCACCGGTTCGATCCCCTTGGCTGACAGTATGTGACTGAAGTGCCCTTGAGCAAGGCATCTAACCCCCGGGCACCGTGGAGCAGTTGGCCGGGCTGCTCCGGGCAAGTGTGCTCACTGCCCCCTAGTGTGTGTGTTCACTAGAGTGCATGTATGTGGGTGTTTCACTGCACGGATGGGTTAAATGCAGAGGTCTGATTCCTCTGTGTGCAAAACACAAAGCTAAATGTTCTGAATTATTATGAGTTGAAATGTGCAACTGTGAATATACACACCCTGGTGAGATCCTGCTGGTGTGGGTTTCCTCTCTTTCAGTGAGTGCCTAGAGCTCCCTCTTGTGGAGAATCTTCAGTCGGCAGACACCAATTTGATAATTTGACCTGAAAACTAATGCTGTTAGTGCACTAAGGATGGATTTTGAGAACTAAATTTTAATTGATTCATTTTTATCAGTTGAGTGATTTTAATCAAGCAATTGTGACGGTCTTAATTTCCTGATAGCAGCTGAGAGCTGTGTGGAATAACGAGTGGTGTCTGTGTTTCAGAGGAGGCGATACGGAGGTGGGAGGAAGAGGAGGAGGAGGTGGTGAGGATGAAGAAGCTGCTGGAGGAGCTGAACAGCAAACTGAGTACAGAAGAACAGCAGGAGAACCAAAACCCACCCTCACAGCAGGTGAAGCAGTTTCTGAATGACGCGCTGTTTTGTATGTGGAGGGAAAGTGCAGAACGGCGCCATCTGCTGTCTGGACTCAGAACACGTTTCTCTTCAGATTATGGATTAAAAATCACTCCAAGTCATTTTGCCAAAACACGAGCTCAGCAGCTGGGAGTACAGTGTTGTAGCAGCATGTTGAGAATGATTTAACTGCGAATATTTAAATATGATTGAACCCAGTTTCAGCCCAGTTTCATCACATCAGCTCCGCAGATAAAGGCACCACGCATCATGAACGCAGCAGTGTTTCGGAAAATCGCTTATAATGGTTGTGTTTCTGTTTTTTACTGTGAATTATTCATTTTTAAATGATTTCTGTGTCAAATATGACTGAAAACGGGGCGACACAACGCAGGCAGTACACACACATAGATGGTTCTTTAGTAAAGGCAGTGGTTCTATTTCGAATCATGAGTTCTATACAGAACTATTCCATGCATAAATGGTTGTTTGCATGGTAAAATGGTTCTTCAGGTTGAGGATGTGCTGTACATGGTTCTGTACAGCACAATGTTAGGATGTCAAGCTTGTAACAATAGAAAAACTCTGTTTGGTGCTGTGTAGAACCATCTTCAAAAAGGCTCTACAAGGGTTCTTCAAGGGTTCTTTAGTGAATGAAATGGTTCTGTATAGACCCATGTATATTTAAATAACCTTTGCATACATAAATGGGTTTTTGCATCATGAAATGGTTCTTCAGATTGATGGAGATTGTGTTGCGTGTGTATATAGTTCTATATAGCACCAAAAAAAGGTTCTTCTATATCATATCTTAACAATAGAAGAACCATTTTCTGTGCTATATCGAACCAATTTCAAAATACTTCTATATGGAACCATATACAGCACATTCTCCGTCAGTCTGAAGAACCATTTCACCATGCAAAGAACCCTTTAATCGTGCACAGCGTTCTTTAAATGTTGGTTCTAAACAGAACCATTTGCTTTGCTAAAGAACCACTTTTTAAGAGCATATATAGAACCACATACAACACATTCTCCATCAATCTGAAGAACAATTTCACCATGTGAAGAACCGTTTAATCATGAAAAAGGCTCCATATAGAACTCAAGGTGGATAGCCGTTACTAAAGAACCCTTTATTACTAAAGAACCATCCTTTTTTAGTGTGAAGGTGAAGCGATATGGCAAAAAATATCATATTACAGTGACATTTTTCTGATTAGTGATGTGTATCACAGTGCTTTGACGCACACAGAGCAGCAGTCGTGCTACGTTTAACAGCTGCTATCAAAAACCACGAGTAAAAAATCTTTATTTACTTTCGTGATAAACTGTCATCATATTTCAGAGCTCCGTGATCCGACGTCTTTCCTTCCCTGATAAACAGGCTGCTGCCGTGTTTAGCTGTGCTAATGTACTTTAGGCCACGTTTATAGATCACAGTGGGTCAGAAACCACAGAATCCAGACTATCAGAGATACTGACACCTCCGCACAGTCTGAGACGAGTGTGTGATGATTTATACAGTTGGCCAGGGCTGAAAAATGAATTATGTTTTAATATCAAAGCACAATTAAGAGGGCGCAATTTTCAAATTGCAATTGCTGCAGTTTTTTTAAGCTAATAGTCTACATTATCAAAAACATCTTAATTTTGAGTTTTAACCTAATAACAGAGTTAGTGAACTGCCTGTAGGTGAGTTAGACCAATCAGAGGCAACCAAACCTCCATGTGTGTTGGCATGACGAGGACAACTTACGGGCTGTCTGGCTCACCACGTTCAGGGGTCGAACCTGAAGCCAGAAATCGTAGATATTCTGGTCTTCTTGGCACAAAAAACAGAGCTAAACCTTATTTTCTAATATAAACCTTATGATCTGTCATTTATAGAAGATAATGGCAGTTTAAATCGCTGGCACGATATTAAAAAATCACCATTAGATATTTTCCCCAAATCGGTCAGCCCTTGTTAGCACCATGCTAATTCATGGATTTAAGCTTCCATTACATGTTAGCTACATTAGCTTCATTGCTAAAGCTAAAGAAACCTGTTTCAGACACCAGGCGTTTTTACGCTTTGAGGTAAGGCAGGGGGGACTGGGACTGGGTAAACTGGAAGTTTTGCTGAACTGTCACTTTAACTGGTTGGTGTTTGTCTGTGTTTGTAGGAGCTGATTGGTGCTGAATCATACAGCACTCAGGACACACTGGACCGGTCAGTGAGACCAGCTCTGACCCCAACTGTGCCCGAAGTTGCAGCCCCACGTCCTGTATGTGGGCCTGAACAGCCCTCCTTGTCTTTTATGGGGCTTCAGCCAGCACCAGAGCGCCCCCTGCTGAGCGGGAGGAAGTCTGAGTCCCACCTGCTGTGGAGCAGCGCCAAGGTAGGAGTGGGCGATACGATATTATGATATCATCTTGATTAATTCTGACACGTTGCTCTTTTGTAAGTACTCGATGGTCAGTGGTCAGTACTTCTAGAACACTGTCACTACAGTAGCTGTATAAACTGCTTTGGGAAAAGTATTTTATTCATTTAAGACAAAATAAAATGATCTTTTTCAGCCTTTTTGAAAGGGGAATTCCATTTCATGCACTCTTAAAGAGGGTTCTTCAAGGGTTCTTTAGTAAAGACAGTGGTTCTGTATAGAACCATAAACGCTCAAACCCTTCGCATGCGTAAATGGTTCTCTGCATGGTGAAATGGTTCTTCAGATTGATGGGGAATGTGATTTATATGGTTCTGATTATGACGTTTTGAAAATGGTTCTGTTCATGACCAGAAAAAGTTCACCTACGTTGACCTTGTATTTATAGCAGAACCCTTTTTGATGCTAAACAAAATTTTACAATTAACCATTTCACACCAAACCACTATGAATGACTCTGTTTACATCTCACACAGGAATTACACAGGAATTTTGGAGTTTGGTGGAGTTCCCCTTTAAGTGCAGCACTGCTGTTTTTGCTAGTGCTTTGTCTTTTCCGAAGCTTAGAGAGCGATATATGGTGATACATATTGTGTTTTGTGAAAATGTGCTGAAATATTGCCGTATTTATTGTATATTTGTATGTGTTATTTCTGCTGTGTTGTCCACTCTCAGGTCCCGGCGTCCAGACTGAGTCTGTCTCTGAGTGCAGCTTCCAGAGCTCAGCTTGGATTCAGCGCCGCCGCGGCCTCGCCGTCGGACTCGGACACACATGCTGCAGCGCTACTGCGGCCGGCGGATCAGAGAGCCGTGAGCCAGGCCGAGCGCTCGGTCCTCGAAGGCTGCGCTCAGAACCCGGCAGCGTCAGAGCGGTGAGTGACGGACAGAGACAGACGTGGCTGTATGTAGTATATAAACAAAGAATGAACCCTGTAAATATGCTGGAATGATCCCATAATGCAGCACGGCGAGTAGATTCCCCAGCCCAGTACGCCACCGTCTGATTTCCTTTCTAGTCCATTGATCTGGTCAAATCAATCATTATAATATTATTGTTGAAATAATGTTGTTGGACATCGTGTATCTTGACTGGCTGTTTTGCGAAGCTGAGACGGTTTCATGCTGGCTTTGTACCTACATGAAATTTTAGTTGCCTGAAACTTACATGAAACAGCTTTGCAACTTTGTTTTTGAGTTGCTTCCTGTAACTGTCAAGTTGCGCGGAAATTACATTGCAGGCAGCTCACAACATGCAACTAGTTGCATGAATGTTTTACTGCGTAAAACCAGCCTCCACGCTGCCCTCTGGTGGAGGATAGAGTTCAGACAGCTCGTGGTTCTTATGAGAACGTATAATGTTAGATACAACTTATGTGCATAAAATCCTAATTTACTGTTTTGTTTTGTGTTTTTTTCCTATGAAGACTGTTTTGCACATAGTTGCTGTTTTTAGAGAGCTTTTCTGCTCGTTTTTCACTTTGCTGTGTTTTACAGAGACACATCTGAACACGTGGAGGCAGACGGAGACGCGAACGCAGACAGTGAGTGAAGAATTCAGACACGTTTTCCTCACGTTCACTCTAAAGAACCACAAACTTAGTCCTCTCTCTCTCTCTCTCTGTCTCTCTCTCTGTCTCTCAGCGTCTCACGGAGCCTTTAATCACTCTCACGTCACTCCTAACACGTCTCTGGGTCTGATTTCGGCGACTCCCTCACGTGCACTTCCCTCTCCCACCGTAAACACACGAGAGGCTCTGGGTAAGCAGCACGCTAAACACACACTCTGCGCACACACACACACACACACACACACACACACACACACACACACACACACACACACACACTTCCAGCAGCAGCTCGCACCACAGCTCCTTTAGAGGGCGCACATTCTACAGCTTTTCCCCACAGAGGTCTGTGTGTAACGTCTATGTGGTTTTGTGTACCAGAAATAGTTACATTGTTTCTGCATTTTTAGCCTCTGTTCTCTGTTATACAGTCTGTTTGTTACTGACCTTATAAGGTGGAGATGCACCAACGGAGATTAATTCAAACTGAGTTTAGAACTTATCAAGGATTTTTTAAATTTAGGTTTAATTTTAAAACGAGTTATGTTGCATCACATAATTTTAAATATGCAAAACACAAATCTGCAATTAAAAACGGAACCTGCCGCTCTGCCACCTGGGGTGACTGGTAGCCTAGTGGTAGGAGAGGTGAGCCGGAAGGTTGTGGGTTCAAATCCACTTCTGATCAGGTTTACCTGGTTGTGCCCTGGGGGAAGACGCTTAACCTGGGGCTGAACGATTCAGGGAAAATATCTAATTGTGATTTTTCTGACCAACATTACGATTGCAATTTAAATGCAAATTCGGTCCAGAAGAGCACTATGTCCACTTTTTTCTTTCAGCTCTTGCGATTTGACAGTTGCACTCTTTCGTATTGTGATTTTGATTTAAAAACGATGAATCTTTCAACCCTAGCTTAACCCCCCACTGCCCCAGGTGGCGCTACAATGCTGGTGACGCTTTGCTGCTTGGTCAGAGAATCGCTAAACACTCACGCTAACGTTAGCTACCTGGTCAGCGTGGCCTCTTTTGTGGCCTTTGAGCACCAGAATCGTCTTGTTGTCGTTTTCAGCAGTCGTTTGTCTCGCTGCCATCAGTCTCTTCTCAACAGCGTTTCTGTCCTTCATATCCTGACAACAGTTTCATTTGGTGTCACCATGACAACCAGCTACAGGGAGGGGGCGCTATATCTGCAGTGGAAAACAAAGTAGCTGGTACTGAAAGCGAGTAGAGTCCAGTTGAGTTGTGCTGTGCAGGGAGAAAGCTGTGAGACATGCATTAGTCAGATCCTGCTGGTGTGAGTTAACTCTACTTCAGTGATGCACACAAAAGCTATAATAGCTCCACCTTGTGGAGAGAGTCGTTAACCATCAGTGAGAGTTACACAGTTTTCTGGGTGCTTTATATGTACAGTTTCACTCAGAGAGATTTTCTGTTCCAGATACTGTTCCAGTATTCAAACACATTGTATAAATTTAGTTTAAATTTAATCCCTGAATGAAGTTTAAATCTGAGTTTAAAGGAACACAGAATTAAATTTGATCTAGATTTCCTGTAAAAGTATTGAATGATGGTTTAAATGTAGCTCTGATCGTTTCTAAACCAGGTTTAAAGTTTGGTGCAGCACGATTAATAGATAAACCTCGGTTTAATACAAGCTAAATCCCTGTTGGTGCAGCCCATCTTAAGACCGATATGTAAATGATCTCTATTCTGATTGGCTGCCCTGTATTGTGCCTAATTTAAAAAGCAGTCCAGGTTGGAAGTCTGTTTAACCTCAGTGTGAGTGGGCGGGGTTAAACTGCTGTGAGCTGAATAGGCAGATATATGTAAATGTGCTCACTTTTGTGACATCACAAAGCGGGCAGCGTAGTTTCTGTATATGGACCGTTTGAACTGGGCAACGAGCGGCATGTGTTAAACTCCAACATCGTCAATCTCCTCTCGTTCTCGTCTAGACGTGATCATGGACATGTTCCAGGCTCCGACGCTGCTGCAGGACACGCTGTTCAACACCACGAGCCACGCAGCCAACGACAGCTTCGAGAAGAACTGCAGAGTGACCGGTAAGAGTGGCGCCCCCTGCTGTTTATCACTACAGCAACTCAAATTTAACCTGCACTGGCTGCGTTACAGCTGTCCGTCAGCGTTGTACAGCTGAACTCGCTCTGAGGAGAACACTAACCGCCAGCTCTGTTAGGCCAGACCCTTTATTCTTTAAATGTGATCTGTATCTGATCTCAGTCTGATCAGATCAGCTCCTAAACCGACCCACATGCTCGAAAGAACGAAGCTTCTCACAGCTCATCCAGAGATAAACAGTCAGAATGGAGTGAACAGTATCAGGCACTCCCGGAGGATCAGCTTCATCTCCTCCAGCTTCTCAGGAGCTGATAAGAAGTTCTGAGGACTGACAGCTCGACTCGTCACCCAGAATGCACTGAGCTCGCTGTAAAAAGCGAGTTTTATTCAGCCACGCCCACTTCTTTGGTTCGCTTCCTCAGTTTCTTTAAACTTTGCTTTCAGACTTTGACGCTGGAGCTTCGCTCAAAATCCATTCAAACACAGAGCGGGTTGGATGAGTGTCTCCTAATTCTTTGGTACAGAAACATCAGCCCAGATGTTTGTGGGTCTCAGCAGTGCAAAATGATGACGAGTGTCGAGCTGGATTGATGTAAACGTCGCCTGAATTCTGATCTGTCTGTTCAGACTGAGTCTCAGTGCCGCAGATCAGATGCACATCAGATTTCAGTTCCACGTATGAAAGCGTCTCAAATCTGAGCTGGAAATGTCAGACTCAGCGTGTTTATCTGGTCACACTGACACACAGACACACACCTGTGTCACACATGAGGACACAGAGCAGATTTGGGCCACTTTTACCTGCTGAGTGATCAAAGCCTTGGTCAGTTAATATGAGCTCATTCTGTGTTTGTGTTTTTGAAGGTTTTGCTCCCCCGTCAGCGAAACCTCCCTCAGCGCCTTTCAGAATATATCAGGATGAAAACGGTGAAAGCAGAAGGTACGGCTGTCCTTCCTTACCTGCCTTTAAAGGGCCAGTAACCTATTTTCCAGTCTTCATGTCTTCATATTCACTTGACTGCTGTAGAATTAGCTCAGTTATGAGAGTCCTGGAGGTTTTATTTCCTCCGCTACAGTGTGGTGTTGGTTATTCTTTTTTAGTTGTTTGGGTGTAAATGGGACAAACAGGCTGTTTTCGTTACTGTGCCTTTAAGACTGACATGTAAATGAGCTCTGTTCTGATTGGCTGTGCTCTGTTGCGCCCTGTTCAAAGCAGGGTGCCATATATGTGCATGAGTGGGTGGGGCTAAGCAGCTGTAGACTGAATAGGTGGATATGTGTAAATGTGTACATGGTTGTGACAACAGAATCATGAAGAACTCAGCTTAGTTTCCATGAACTGAGGGGTGGGCGTTTTGAAACTTTAGCAGAATTTACCTGTTGAGTTATCGAATCGTTTTAGTTTTCCATGATGGGCCCTTTAAAAGGTACAGTGAGAGGGATGGGGGGATGCTGGGGGGGGCAGGTTCCTGCAGAGCTGATGCTGCTGTGTGTGTTTCAGAGAGGAGGTGGAGAAGACCAGGCCAGCAGCTCGAGCTCTGATGGAGATCCCAGTGTCCAAACCCAACGTGAGTGACAGAAGGAGATTTCTAACCTTCATCCTAACTCTGAAATCAGTTTGGTCTCCATGACGACTTCAGTCTGGACTGAATTTTGGACAGTACCTATTCCAGAGTAACAGTTCCTACCTTCATAATCTCATCATGAACTCCAGATAAGAAAACAGCATCACACAAACATCCTAACTAGACTGAACCTCCTAAATCCTGTCCTAACTTTAGGATGAACCCCAACAGGGTCCTCACTTCTGTTTAAGGTCCGTTTCTATGGTTTTTAGGCAGCTGAGTCAGCAGCATAGTTCACTACCAGCATAATGAGCTCCATTTATCTCTACTGTAAAACGCTGCTTTCACTGTGAGATGATTTTCTTTTCTAACTCTGCGTTTTAAAGATCTCAGACGCTGCAGACTCGATCTCCACCGCCCCTCTGATCACCTTCGTGTGTTAATGTTGATGATGAAATATTACAGTGATGGTGGTGAATAATGAGGAGACAGTTATAATTATTTTATTTTTTTATTAATACTTATTTAATTTTTACATTTTTATTTATTTGTGTGTGTGTGTGTGTGTGTGTGTGTGTGTGTGTTTGTAGGACACTCCTGTCGGTGTGGAGTCTCTGACGGACGAGAGTGCGATGTGGGGTCCTCGATACGCCTCCATAACCGCCTGCCCGAACCACACTCGCGACTTCGCCATGTCCGCCCACCTGGTGTCCACCCCCCTCCACCCCACCGCCCCGTACACCTGGGACACCGAGCACAACCAGGGTACTGACACACACACACACCATTTTCACTATTTATTCATTTAAAAACACTTATCTAGAGACTGGACAGTGGACAGAACCTGTACTGAAACAGATGAGTGTTATGCACTGTGCACATCACCCTCCTGAGGGGTTACGCATGCTGCCCAAATCTTGGAAAAACTGGTGCCACTGTGGCGCAATTGGAGGTTTACCAGGCCCAGCCTACTGGGATGAGACCCCGGGGTCGTCCTGGGACCTGCTGCAGGGATTATATCTCCAGGTTTAAATTTTTTAAACGTGTGTTTTTTGTCCAGACGCACCTGTTCATATATGACAAAACTGATGTCAGCTGTGAAGCTCAGAGCAGTGTTTTTCTCTCTTCAGGGCCAGCAGACTGTAAACACAGCACCAATGTTATCGCTGATAGTCATCGTTTCTCTTGTGTGTGTTCTGTTGTGTAGAAAACAGAGGTTTCAGCGGGACGGATGAGAACCCCTACCAGCGCCAGCCCGCCAAACTCAGGTACATCACTTCAGAAACGCCGTCATAAATCTCTGCTTCTCCTCTAACTCCTCCCTGACCAGCACTCCATTTCATTACTGAACTGTAATTGTATAAAGTCTTATTTTACCCTGAATCACCTGGATTTGTGAAAATCAACCTCAGATCTCCAGATCGCTCTGAAAGTTCTCAGCTGACCAACTCCGACCTGATTAACAGTTTCAGGACATAATGTCACTGTGCCTAATAAAGTGCTATCATTATGTTGATGTCAACATTCATTTGAATATTTTTTATGTAATCTGAAAACAGCTGCCCTTTACACTTTAAGATGAACAGACCAGTAGAAATGGTCCAAAAATATTTTTACATCACCTTCTGTTAAAAGTTAAGACCTGTTTTTCTTCTTCTCTTGGAAAGTCACTAGTGTGGTGATATAGACTGCGGTTATTAGTGAGATATATATGCCGAATATAAATCTGTGTATTCATATTTTTTTTTATTGAATTTCGCTGCAAGGATGAATAAAGTTAATGTTATCTTGTCTCAGTATTGTGATACTTTTAATATATCTTGATATAATATTTTTACCATATCTCCCACCTGTATGCTGAATATAAATCAGTGTATTCATAAAGTTTTTATTATAATTTTTTTATTGAATTTCGCTGCAAGGATTAATAAAGTTATTAGTATCGTGATATTATCTTAGAAGTATCGTGATGTATTTCTCAGTATTGCGCAGCTCTGCAATCCAACAAAAGGAAAAAATGCAGGCCAGCCTTCAACCACGTCAGTTTATTGAGTGTTTTAATAGCAGGTTATGCTAACATTTTATATGCATCTCAAAACGTTCTGTCTGGTGGTGTCCAGTCCGATCCTGGAGCAGAGTCCGTCTGAGGAGAAGCCGTCTGAAGCTGCGGAGTGCAGTCTGAGGGCTCAGGGCACCATCGTCGGAGAGGGAGTGAGTCTCCCACAGCAGAACCAGACGCTCTCTCAGACCCACAACCAGACCAGCTGCAGCATGAGCAGGAACCCACTGGCCCCTCTGGCTCTGCACGACCACACGGCCGAGCCCAGCAGGGCCCTTAGCTCCACCACCAAACCCAGCTGGAGCATCTACCAGAGCCCCGACAGAACCGGCCAGATGGAATCAAACAGAGAACCCCTCTCAAGCAGCATGCATTCGGTGAGAGAACCCAAACCAGACCAGCTCAGCTCAACTGGCCTGCAGGTTAACTCTAGTTTCACCACCAAACCCAGCTGGAGCATCTACCAGAGCCCAGAGAGAACCAGCCTTACAGGTTCTAATGGAGAACTGCACTCAAACAGCATGCATCTGGTGAGAGAACCCAAACCAGACCAGCTCAACTCAACTGGCCTGCAGGTTAACTCCAGCTTCAGCAGTAAACCCAGCTGGAGCATCTACCAGGGCCCAGAGAGAACCAGCCATACAGGTTCTAATGGAGAACTGCACTCAAACAGCATGCATCTGGTGAGAGAACCCAAACCAGACCAGCTCAGCTCAACTGGCCTGCAGGTTAACTCTACTTTCACCACCAAACCCAGCTGGAACATCTACCAGGGCCCAGAGAGAACCAGCCAAACAGGTTCTAGTGGAGAACTGCACTCAAACAGCATGCATCTGGTGAGAGAACCCAAACCAGACCAGCTCAACTCAACTGGCCTGCAGGTTAACTCCAGCTTCAGCAGTAAACCCAGCTGGAACATCTACCAGGGCCCAGAGAGAACCAGCCAAACAGGTTCTAGTGGAGAACTGCACTCAAACAGCATGCATCTGGTGAGAGAACCCAAACCAGACCAGCTCAACTCAACTGGCCTCCAGGTTAACTCCAGTTTCACCACCAAACCCAGCTGGAGCATCTACCAGGGCCCAGAGAGAACCAGCCATACAGGTTCTAATGGAGAACTGCACTCAAACAGCATGCATCTGGTGAGAGAACCCAAACCAGACCAGCTCAGCTCAACTGGCCTGCAGGTTAACTCTAGTTTCACCACCAAACCCAGCTGGAGCATCTACCAGGGCCCAGAGAGAACCAGCCATAGAAGTTCTAACAGGGAGCACACAGCAGACCAGCTCAGCTCTGCTGGCCTACAGGTGAACGGAGTGCTCAACTCCTCCAGCCTGCATTTAGCGACAGAGCTCAGACCAGACCAGCCAAACTCGAGCGGTCTGCAGCCCCTGGGAGTGGACGCATGCTCTGGTCAGGGCGAGGCTGATCTTCTCCTGCCAAAGCGGTCTTTCCACCGGCGCAAATCAGAAAAACAGCAGAACCGAGAGATCCACCAGGATGTTCCTATGAGTCCAGAACCGGCCCCGGGATTCAGCTGGCTTCAGGTGGACAGTCCAGCGCAACTCGCTGAACCCGACCTGGACGTGATGGTCAGGTAGGGCTGGGCGTCTCGGCCAAAAGTCTTATGATATATTTTCTTTAGAATTTCGTATCCCTAATTATTAGGGCTGCAGTTAAAGGCGCAATATATGATTCTGGAAAACGATTGATGATTTTTGAACTCAACAGCAAAACAAACACACCTCTCCTTTCAGTGCTCCTTCAGAAGCTCCACCCCCCAAATTCATGGACGCACATTGCCAAGGTTAAATCCTTTGCAAGCATTGCACAAATACCATGATATAACGTCACTGCGAACAGCCACACCATGAGTCATATAGCTAACGTTAGCTCGGCTGTGGGGTAGCAATCTCTTGCTACAGTTGCTACTGCATAGCTAAACACAAACATTGGCAAATGGGACAAAACAATACTGACCTACTGATTCTGTGAAGCAGCAAAAGTAAGTTAATGATGCCTAGAAACAGCAGCCTCCTCATCCCTTTTCATGCCTTTCAGCTCTCCCTGAAGCTGAAGTTGGCTTTTTTTCCGGCAGCTTCTTCTTTTAAATTTCCAATTTTACTGTTCCACCTTAAATGATACAGCAGTCAAATTCAGAAGCCTCAGCTTCTGGTTCAATTTTTCTGTTCCACCTTTAATGGTGCAGCAGCTCCATGCTGGTGTCTGAGGCACCTCAACTGCTGAACTGGAAAGGTGAATAGGAAGCTGACTTAAGCCTCGTCAGCTCTCGGAGGTCTCTCCACTGCTGGACCCCCCTCGAATGATCTGAGATCTCAGTCTGGGTTCTTCAGATCTTCTCCTCTTTGGCTGTTTGTCAGCCATCAGTTCCTCTCACTTCGCTCCATCACAGCTCTGTTGTCATTTAGTTTTGTCTACGTAACAAGCAGCATGTTTTTTTACGGTGCAGTGGAACAGAAGTTTTCAGTAAACTTTTTTTTTTATCCTGCTTTTCTTTTCAGAATTAATGTTGTTAAAGATTCAATTAATGCAGCCATAATAGTTATCGATTATTATTGTATCCAGTTCCTGAAAATATCTGTGAATAATAAGGGCAATATTTTCTTGTTTTAAAATTTGTGACATCATTTATATATCGATACCGCCTCTTGTGTCGTCTACTCTCCATAATGTCAACACTGAAAGCTCGCTAACTCTGCTAACTGCTAGTTTACACTGTAGCGAATGAACTGCTAGACTTCTTTCTCTCCATATACAGAGGAAAAGATTCGGCGCCACCTGCTGAACTCAAGTAGAAACTGTTCAGCCTAGAATTTCATCAGCTGTAGCGTCTAATTACCAGACTGAAGTACCAACTGCTGAAATGTGCATTATCATCATAGGAAGTGTTCGATTTTGATTATTGCCGATTGTTCTATCGTCCAGGTCTATGGTCAGGTCACCGCAGACCTACGGAACGACCTCTGGATCTCTGGCTGCCGGGTCCAAACCCAGCTGGAGCGTGTACCAGAGTCCAGAGAAACCATCTGAACCACGACACATCCCACAGAGCCCGGAGCCCATGGAGGAATCGGATCACCATCCGTTCCCAATGCTGGAACAGTCCGGAATTCTGCTTTCCAAGAGATCCTTTAACAGGCGGAAATCGGAGAAGAGGGTTTTGGAGGTGAGGATGGGAATATAACAGTACAGCTGTGTGGCACACCTGGCCAGATTACAAATTGTGCTGTTTTTTGACGTGAAGAGAAGTAAACACAACCTCTGGAAAAAAATAGTAGTTGTGGCATGTGCAAAAGTTTGAACACCCTTCAGAGGTTCAATTACCTCAGACCTTAATTGACTCATTAGGTCTATCAGGCAGGTCGGAAATTGTAATTGTCTGCTGATTAGAGATCCAGAGTGTAATAATTCCTTTTCAAACCTTGTGCCAACACTCAACAGCTAGGAGCTCCTCTAAGCAGCTGAGGATCTGAAAATAAGAAATAAACAGCAACAGTGTACTGTAACACCAACCGCACAGCAGCAAGTATAGGACTGCATATCAGCCTGTTTGTGATCATTTTGTACCTGTCCCCTCTTAAGGGGGAATTCCCTTTAAAATTCCCCATAATTCAGTGTGTGAGCTGTAATCAGAGAGACTCAGAGTGGTTTGGTGTGAAATGGTTCAGATGTCTTTACAGTGGTGGTGATAGGAACCAGGGGTCGCCATGACTACAACACAGATATAGACATTTTATTTACTATCCAGAACCACCAGTGAACCTACACGAGTCTTCTGAGTTTATATGGAATGTTGATGATGGAAAATAGTGGAAAATCTGAAATAATAAGTTTTCTTTGGGGACTATTTTGCCTCACAGCGCCCTGCATGTATCCCTCCACCATGAATGGAGTTTAAGTTCTCTAAACTATCATAAAACAGTGTCTCAGTCATCAGGCAGTGAATTCATAACCATTTCATGTAGGAACTTTCTGTGAGGGAGCTTTTAGAGGTGGACGTCTGGTTCCTATCACCACCACTGTGAACAATTCTGAACTTCACACCAAACCGCTCTGAATGACTTTTTTACCCACTTAATTATTCAGGGCATTTAAACAGTCGGTGGAATTTCCCTTCAAATGTTTTATAGATGATATATTGTGATATCCTGTATGGTGATAGTTACGTTTTTGCCGTTTCACCTGCTCTTTCACTGCAGGTCGTACAGAAATCTCTCCTGTCGAGTCCGAAACAAGCCTCCAACCCGATCCAGGACGTCCCCATGAGTCCAGAACCGGTTCCAGGGCTGAACTGGCTCTGTGCGGAGAGTCCGGCACGCATGGCTGAACCTGATCTGGACGTGCTGATGACGCCACCACAGACATCTAAAACATCTGCAGTGGTGGACGTTCCTCCTGCAGCACACCAGCTGCAGGGTTCTGGACCTGATTACACTCCCTCAGGTACTGACGCCGTTTCATCAATCACATTGATTAATCAGTGTTTCCATCATGCAGTCATGTTGATAGATCACGGCCTTGTGCTGCTGTGGTGAAGGTCGCGGTATTGGCAGGTCAGGTTTTGCAGACGTTCCAGATATCATAGAGATGCACAGTGAGACTGGAATAATAAACAGGCAAGAGTGGCGTTTTAGCTCTGGGACTTCTGTTCTAAATTATGATTCTGTTATTACCATTGTTATAACTGTTGCTATAGGTATAATGCATAATTACCATTAGTCATTACTGAACTATTATTTATGTTGAACACACACTGATCTACAAACTGCTGTTCGAAACTGTCGACGTATTTTATTGGAAATACAGCAAAGTGGACGCACTTCAGATACGCATTAAAGAGTTAATGTAGAAATAATTAAGAAGCTCTTGGAAACTCTTGCACAATATAAACAAAATACGTTGTGCTGTAATAAGCATAATAAGCAATAAAATATGATTTAAAATGTATAATTTCAGTGGAATGGATATGCAGCCACAACAGACCCACAAGGACGCTAAACTATTTTTTTGTTCCAAGTTTATTTAACAGTAGGTAATAATAATAATAATAATAATAATATTAATAATAATCAGCATATCCAATATTTGCCATTCTTGCTCATTCCTTTTTCTACAAAACCTGATCAGTGCATTAGTAATCCTTCATAAAGTTACTTATGGTGATGCACGTTTGTTGTGACAGCCAGTACTGCATCAGACATTTTTTGCGCTAGAATTATAGAGATGCACCTACAGTTTTGGTTGGAGAAGATTAACTGTTAGTAATAAAGGTTCTGTTAAGTACATTTTTCGTTCATCGAGGTACAAACAGTGTAAATGTTCCCTCAAAGCTCCAACAGTGGTTTTAAGGTCTGATTGTGAACCTTAAATAAGTGTTTCCAGGTGAAAAGTTTGTATTTGTACCTTTTCATAACCGAATGTTTTAAACAGAACAGTAAAATAAAAGCCTGGAGACGAGACGGGGTGTGTGGAGTCAGTACAGCTTAGAACATATCATTCAGTGGATTATGGTTCAGTTATGTTCCCTGACTAAAGGGACTGAGATGGACCCTTGAGGGAACCACCCCAGTGACTAGAGGGGCACTGACCCAGAGACTTTATTTCTGAGAGAGTGTAAACTGTAAAGTGTTGGTCAGCTGGTCCTGCTGGTGTGGGTTCACAACTGTTTCTTCTCTAAATGGCGAACACTAAAGTGATTTGTGTGCTCGTAGCGCCCCCTGCTGGAGAAAACTTTGCACTGCTGGCAAGAGCTCCCGTCCGCGTGTTTTACATATTTAAAAATGTTTTTCACTGGTGTAATGGAGGCACTTTGGAATTCAGCTTCAGAAACTAAGAAGAATTATGTTTTCACAATCTTACAACTTGTTTTTTAGTGAACTGTTCAGAATTAAATTAGTTCTCTTTGTTCTAGTGATGATTATCACCTTTGAAGCATCGTCAACATTGTTAATTCAGAAGCATAAATAAAACAGCAAGTTATAAATAGAAGAACTTTCGGTTCTCAGTTTTTAGCTTAGTTTTTGTCCTGAATTCATTTCTGTGCGTCACTAAAGAACAGCCATCCTGTTTAATGTGTTCTACAGGCTCGTAGTTACGGATAGAGTAGTTGATCAGGTGTGCAAATGACGGGTGGTTTGTAAACGAGCGCCGGATAGTTGAGTGGATGAGAAGTTTGTCTTACACGCATTGATCTCCCGCACAGGCAGGACCTGAAGAGCTGTAGCGTTAGGACACTAGATCTGCATTCTGCCGAGATCTTATACTGTAGCGCAGCTCTACTCTTATCTAATGAGCTTAATGTCCAGTTTAAAATATTCTATTTGTTTATTTATTCATTTTCTCTCCTCTAGTGCTGGTGTCTGACCCGTGGGATGAGGATTTGATCGCGTCTCTGCTCTCCAGCCTGAAGACTCCTCTCTCCTCCTACCCAAACCTCAGAGTCTGGACACACAGCCTCCCTGCCATCACCCCCAAGATGACCGTCCAGATGGGTAAAGACTTCACCTGGAGCATTAACAACACCCTCACTCTGTTTTACCTGTTCCAGCATACCTGACTTTGTAATGATCTGATTGGTTGGATCAGTGGTTTAGAGCTCTGAAAATACTCAGCTATAACAGTAACCAGGCAAAAATGAATATTTATGGATATTTTACAGCCTGTGAGTTCAAAATGCTTTTCCAGTGTACTGGGCGAATGAAATCCTGACAGAAAAGTCTGTCAGAGTGACTGTGTGGATCATATGAACATTATAGAGGCTTTTTAAATGAAACAGTAGAAGCCATATCGCCCCCTACACTTCCTTTAGTGTATTACAGTCTGTCAGACTGACTGTGTGGATCATATGAACATTATAGAGCTTTTTAAATGAAACAGTAGAAGCCATATCGCCCCCTACACTTCCTGTAGTGTATTACAGTCTGTCAGAGTGACTGTGTGGATCATATGAACATTATAGAGGCTTTTTAAATGAAACAGTAGAAGCCATATCGCCCCCTACACTTCCTGTAGTGTATTACAGTCTGTCAGACTGACTGTGTGGATCATATGAACATTATAGAGCTTTTTAAATGAAACAGTAGAAGCCATATCGCCCCCTACACTTCCTGTAGTGTATTACGGTCTGTCAGAGTGACTGTGTGGATCTTTTTTGTTTAAATAAACACACAAGTTTTTAACCAATTCTGCATTTAAGTTCTAAGCTGTACTGCCTCAATAAAAACCTGCTATTTAAACTCTTACCTTTCCTCTCTGATGATCAGCGGAGGAGTCCCTGCGGGTGGACTTCGTACTGGGTCAGGGTGCTTTCGCCACCGTCTACCAGGCCACCAACCTCACCACTTCGGACAAACTCATCCTGAAGGTAAAAACCCTAAAAGAAACTAGTCGGTCAGCTAAGACCTGTTCAGAGTCTGAAGTTTGTTTTTAAGTTAGCACTGGAGCTACACTTACTTAAACCGCTAATAGACCTGATTATGTGGTTTCTGACACTCTATCACACCCATTTCACACCAGATCTGGAATCCGGAACTGCTCTGCGACGGTTATTTTACTTTGGACGCGACACACAAGCATAGCGAAGCAAGAGCAGTCGCAGTGTTGCGTTTTCATGTAATATAAACGTCTGTATTGTCCGTTTATTACTGTAGACTTTATGTAGATGACATAAGGAGGTCAACAGTAAAATCGTGACTAGCTTGACTGTTGCTGGCTTTTTCACCAGGTGATGTAGCTCTACATGAAGAGGAGGGGAAACCTGTCAGAGTTAACACTAGATTTGTTTACTTGTTTTTTTAGCCTAGATTGTGTATTATAACAAACATTGCATGCTGCGCGCGTCAGAAATAGACCCAAAGTGACGAGCACAGCCAGTGTGAAAGGCTACATAGATTAATGTAGGAGTGTGTTTCGCCCAGCACTGCGCGGCGATTCATGCAGCGCGGTTTCCACGGCTGGGGTGAAATATGCTTCACCTATGAACACTGAAGCACAGCTAAGCGATGATATCGACAGTAGAAAAACAAAAAAGAAGTTAACAAATATTTCCATTGTCTTTTTTTTTTTTTGTTTACATTCTTAAAGTGACATCCAGCCTGATGTGAGTTCACAGCTTAACCTGAGGAGGGGGGGGTCGTTGGGTACGTTGGGTGCGTTTTTGTGTTAATCTGCTCTGCTCTGCTGTTTCTCTGCTGTAAACTCTGCTGCGCTGCTGTTTCACCTGTTCAGGTGCAGAAGCCGCCGAACCCCTGGGAGTTCTACATCAACAGCCAGCTGGACGGTCGGGTGCAGCCGAGAGCGCGACACCTGTTCAACCAGCTCCACTCCGCTCACCTGTTCACCAACGGCAGCGTGCTGGTGGGGGAGCTGCACAACTGCGGGACTCTGCTGGTGAGGAGCTGCTGCTCTAGATAACTGACAGAACCCTGTGTGGGAACCAGCAGCTCTGTTTATACCAGAGATGCAGAGTTTAATTCCTCATACGTATTAATGTATATGGAGAAAAAACTCGATTCTGATTCGCTCGATCATGTCTGTGAAATCTGTGCTTCCTGTTCTTTCCTTCCTTTTGGTTTATTTGTTTTTTTAATATTATTTCCACAAAGGTAATTTTACATTCACACTATTAATAATAATAATAATAAAAATAACAGATACAACAGTAACACAATTAGAGTATGTAAATAAACAGTTGTAACACTTGTTTGCTGATTTTGGGACGGTGGGTTTTTAAACCAGCAGTGACTGAGTTCTTCCTGTCACAAGCTGCTGGTAAAGATGGTTCTCTAAGGGTTCTTTAGCAAAGACACATGGTTCTATATAGAATCATGAACACTCAAAGAGCCCTTGGCATGATTAAAAGGTTCTCAGCATGGGGAAGTGGTTTTTCAGATTGATGGAGAATGTGTTGGTCCTGTGTAGCACCAAAAATGGTTCTGCTGTAGTTATGACTCAAGCTTGTAGCTATAGAAGAACCCTTTTTGGTGCTCTATAGAACCAATGCATTCTCCACCATTCTTCACCATGCAAAGCACGCAAGTGGTTCTTTGAGTGTTTGTGCTATTTTCTTTACTAAAGATTATTTCTTTACACTCTCTCTCTCTCTCTCTCTCTCTCTCTCTCTCTCTCTCTCTCTCTCCCTCCCTCTCCCTCTCTCTCTCTCTCTCTCTCTCTCTCTCTCTCTCTCTCTCTCTCTCTCTCTCTCTGTGTTCAGAGCATGGTGAACCTGTATAAGAGCCGCAGTGAGAAGCTGATGCCGGCGCCGCTGGTTCTCTACTTCAGCGTCTGTATCCTGCAGATGGTGGAGCAGCTGCACCGAGCCAGCATCGTCCACGCCGACATCAAACCTGACAACTTCCTGCTGGGAGAGAGGTACATCTGCGTGACCACTGCTCCTCCAACCGCTCACCTGACCACTGAGACACTGAATCTGAACACTAATACTAAAACACTTAGAGTTGGCAGTAACAGTCAACGACAGTTACCTGGGATACCTGTTGGAGGCCTGACGGCTCTCACTGATGGGCTGTTTAATTGATCATGTGATTGTTTAATTGTGTGTTTAATTGTCTCTCTGGTTCTGCAGGTTCCTGGAGAACGAGGACTTTGATGCTGAGAATCTGGATCACGGTTTGGTTCTTATTGATTTTGGTCAGAGCATCGACATGACCCTGTTCCCCCAGGGCACGGCCTTCACTGCCCGCTGCATGACCTCCGGCTTCCAGTGCACAGAGATGCTGAGCGGCCGGCCGTGGAACTACCAGGTAACCCAGCGCACCTGCTGACCATCCACACCTGACCAAAAATAACTGCTGACCATTCACATCTAAGCAGCACACCTACTTACCCTCCACACCTGCCCAACACACCCGCTGACCATCCACACCTGTCTAAAGACCTGCTGACAATACACATCTGACCACATTTGCAGACCATCTACACCTGACCAAAAAAAAAATCCTGCTGACTCTTCACAGATGACCTGCACACCTGCTGGCTGTTCACACCTGACTAGCACACGTGCTGACCATCCACATCTGGCAAACACACTTCCTGTCCATCCATACCAGACCATAAGCTTGCTGACGATACACACCTGACCGTACACCTGCTGACCATTTAACATCTGACCAAAAAAAAGCCCTGGCCAAAACACACCTGCTAATCATTCACATCCTGATCATTTAAAGGTGTGCTGACTGTTTACACCTGAGCATTCACACCTGACCAACAAACCAACACATCTGCTGACTGTCTGCAGGTGTGGCTGGTCAGATGAATTGCTCTGTGTGCGTGCGTGTGTGTGCATGTGTGCTGACCGTGCTGACCGTGCTGTCCTCTGTGCAGACGGATTACTTTGGCATCGCCGGCACCGTCTACTGTATGATATTCGGGTCGTACATGCAGGTTAGAAACGAAGGTGGAGTTTGGAAAACTAACGGAGTCTTTAAGAGGTCAGTGTTCATGTTGTTGTTGTTGTTGTTGTTGTTGTTGTTGTTGTTATTATTATTATTATTATTATTATTATTATTATAGACTTTACATGTTTAAAATAGACAGATATGTAAATGTCTGATGAATATAAAGTTCCTGAACTGCTGAATGTTGATTCAGTGAACAGACAAACAGACACTGTTTATAGTGATGATATGCAGTGATGAAGGAGCTTCATCAGGTTTACTTTATACATCTCTCTCTCTCTCTCTCTCTCTCTCTCTCTCTCTCTCTCTCTCTCTCAGGAATCCTCACGCTGATCTGTGGCAGGAGTTTTTCCACGTTCTCCTGAACATTCCGGACTGTAACTCGTTGCCGTGTCTGCGGCGTCTGCGCGAGTGTCTGTCTGCAGCGCTGCTGGAGAACTACAGCAACAAACTGCGCAGCCTCAAAAACCGGCTGGTGGTCCAGATCCTGGAGGCGAGGAGCGCCCGCAGATAGAGCCTCACACCTCCTCCTCCACCCTCTGTACAGGGCTCTGGTCAGACTTCTGCTGTCTAAAGTGTAATTCTGAGTGTTTGACGTTGCGCTGGTTTACGCTGCGATGCTGTTCTGCAGATCCAGCACTTTTAATAATACCTGGCCAGGTTTTATCAGTAGCACATAAAAAAACTAGATCAGATCATCTTTTATCTGCTTTACTGTTTTGAATTTAAAGTGTAAAAAAGGAGTGATTGATTTTGTAAAATTCAATAAATCTTTAATCACCGTTCTGCTCAATTGTGCTTTCTTACTGTTGGAGCTGCAGTTTCTCTCAAGTCCACTAGAGGGCAAACTAGCCCTTTACTGCATGTTGCTGCCTCATGGTTTTGGCCTGACTACAATATAAACGTCTGTTTATTTTAATTCATTTGGGAACTGAAGACTTTATGCATAAAACAGTAAATGTTTATTTTGGCACGGCTTCCTGTTTTTTTTTTTTATTTGAATTATATGCGCATCACGTAGAGATCTGGCTCCTGAAGCGCTTTTAAAATGTGTAAAATTTGATATTAATGCACAACAACTTCAAGAAAAGAATATAAACACTGTAGGATGTTGCTTTTTTTCATTAATTAAACCAGATTAATATAATCAGATTTTATAAAAAATATTACTGTTGCCACATGGCGACAGCATCAAATACACAGACATTCTTAACATTATTATCAGTATAATTATTTCAAGTATCTTTCTGAACTCAAAGCCTTTTATGTATTGGTTTAACTCCCTTTAGTGTGCACTGCAGATTGCAGTTGAATTGTCGCCTACTGTTGCTCTATGGCAACAAACCCCCCACAGTACCCCCCCCAAAAAACTGATAAACATTTTTATATTTGTATTAGTTGTCATTTTCAAATTGTCATAATGTTGTGATATATGAAAAATACAGTTGTTCACAGTGGTGGTGATAGGAACCAGACGTCCCCCTCTAAAAGCTCCCTCACAGAAAGTTCCTACAGTAAATGGTTATGAATTCACTGCCTGATGACTGAGACACTGTTTTATGATAGTTTGGAGAACTTAAACTCCATTCATGGTGGAGGGATACATGCAGGGCGCTGTGAGGCAAAATCACCACCACTGTAAAGAGATCTGAACGATTTCACACCAAACCGCTCTGAATCACTGATTCCCCTTAGTCATATTGTGGTGGTTCCTCTGTTCTCCACTAGATGGTACTGTTGACACAGTGAAGTACAGTTACACTGTGTAACATCTGATGAATCAAAATGATGAAAGTTCAGCTAAAACAGTCACTTTGAACATTTTTCTCATTTTGTTTTTACACTTCAATAATCGCTGATCAGATAATATTGATTTCCTTTAGTCAAAGAAATGAGTGTAATGAGTCAGTGTCTCTCTCTCTCTCTGTAATGAGTCAGTGTCTCTCTCTCTCTCTCTGTAATGAGTCAGTGTCTCTCTCTCTCTGTGTCTCTCTCTGTAGTGAGTCTGTCACGATCTCTCTGTGTATTGAGTTAGTCTCTCTTTCTCTCTCTCTCTGTCTCTGTCTCTCTCTCTCTCTCTCTCTCCTTGCAGGTCTCAGTGCTGTAATGAGTAAATATGTTCAGAGGGTTCAGCTCAGTGTGGCTCATTAACCTCCTGCTGGTCAGAGAGAGGAAGTGCAGCACTGTGACCTGCCGGAGGGTCAGTCTGAGGGTCATTCCGCAGAGCAGCACTGCTCACTCACACAGATACAATAAAGGAACAGTTTGGTGAGCCCCCTGCTTCCCCTCTGACCCCAGCAGCAGTCTATCAGCCATGTTTGGGGTCTGAAGTTTGCTTCTTCACGCTGGAGGGGGCGCTGCTGCGCTCGTCAACTTTATCGGACGGGCAGCAGGCCTGTGGTTAGCCCAGGAGCGCAGGTCCGTCAGCAAGTCGCATCAGCTCTATTAACTCCAACTCTGGTGTTTCTGTAGTGTAAAGACAGTGCTTCTGTGTGGAACCATGAACATTCTTAGAACCAAGCATGGTGAAATGGTTCTTCAGACTTATGGAGTATGTGTTGGTTCAGTACAGCACCAAAAAGGGTTCTTCTACTGTAACAAGCTTGACATTGTAATTAGAGCAAAACCCATTTTCGTGCTACACAGAACCATATTCAACACATTCTCCATCAGTCTGAAGAACCATTTCACCATGCTTGGTTCTTGGAGTGTTCATGGTGTTCATTGCATCCCATTTCCAAAAAAGTTTGGACGCTGTGCAGAATGTAAATAAAAACAAAGTTCAATGATGTGCAAATCATTTAAACCCTATATTTCAATATGGGACGGGGGCCTGTTTACCACTGAGTTTCATCACCTCTTCTTTAACAACACTCTGTAAGCGTTTGGGAACTGAGGAGACACTGCTGTAGTTTAGAAAGTGAAATGTTTTCTGTTCTTGTCTGATACAGGATTTCAGCTGCACAACAGTTCAGAGTCTCCTTTTTCATATTTTTCATTTCATAATGTGCCAAACGTTATCAGTGGTGACAGGTCTGGACTGCAGGCAGGTCAGTTTAGCACCCGGACTCTTTTAATACGAAGCAATGCTGCTGTAATACATGCAGAATGTGGTTTTACATTGTCCTGCTGAAATAAACAAGGCCTTCCCTGAAAAAGACGTTGTCTGGATGGCAGCATATGTTGCCAAAACGTATATATCGTTCAGCATTAATGGTGCCTTCACAGATGTACCAGCTAACCATGCCATGTGCACTAATGCTCCCCTACACCATCATGAATACTGGCTTTTGAACTGTGCACTGATAACAAGCTGAGTGGTCTTTAGCCCGGAGGACACAGTGTCCATGATTCCCAAAAAGAATTTCAAATGTTGATTCGTCAGACCACAGGACACTTTTCCACTTCACCTCAGTCCATTTTAAATGAGCTCAGGCCCAGAGAAGGTGGCAGCATTTCTGGATCCTGTTTATAAATTGTTTCTTCTTTTCATTTTAATATGTATTTGTGGATGCAGTGATGAGCTGTGTTCACAGACAGTGGTTTTCAGAAGTGTTTTTGAGCCCATGCAGTGATTTCCACTACAGAATCATGTCTGTTTTTAATGCAGTGCTGCCTGAGGGCCCAAAGATCACGGCCAGCAAATACTGATTTTGGCCTCGTCCCTCACATACAGAGATTTCTCCAGATTCTCTGAATCTTTTAATGATATTTTGTACTGTAGATGATGAAAAGCAAAAGTTCTTTGTTATTTTATGTTGAGAAACGTTATTCTTGAATTGTTGCACTATTTGATGGTTCAGTCTTTCACAGAGTGGTGAACCCCTCCTCATCTTTACTTCTGAAAGACTCCGCCTCTCTGAGATGCTCTTTCATACCATGTTACTGACCTGTTGTCAATCAAGCACCAGGCGTTTTTTTTTTAGCATCACACAACTTTACCAGTCTTTTGTTGCCCCCATCCCAACTTTTTTGGAACGTGTTGTTGCCATCAAATTCAAAATGGGCAAATATTTAAAAAAAAAAAACAATAAAATTTCTCAGTTTCAACATTTGATATGTTGTCTTTGTACTATTATCAATGAAATATAGGGTTTAAATTATTTGCACATCATGGCATTTTGTTTTTACATTTTGCAAAGCGTCCCAAGTTTTTGGGAAACTGGGTTGTACATTATTTGACTATTTTCATACATTGCAAAAATATATTTGATAAATACATTTGGAATACGTTATTTTTGGAGGAGTTTCCCTCCACAGCCGGCGTTCTTCCTCACACAGCGAGGACTCTGCAGCAGGTAAACAACAACACAAACTCTCCATAACTCACACATAATCACCAACAGGTGCTGACCCGAACTGCCCGGACGGCGCCGTTTATCAGGCAGGTTTTGGGATGCAGCCCAGCCGGGCGTCTCCCGTTCCCATCTGTTTATCCTGACGGGTCTCGTTCAGCCTAATCAGAGGGCGACAGAGGCCAGAACACAGACGGACGCTTCTTTCAGGAGGGTCAGATACTGTCCTGAAGGGTAGCTCAGCTCTGAATCGCTGAAATGTGGTTAAGAGTCAGAGATAAATAGTGAGAGTGAGCAGGAAGACAGTAGCGGTTCTAGACCATTCGAGCTGGGGGGCCAGGCTGGGGCCGGGGGCTGTGTTAGAGGGGCCGATTACTTTTTGCCTTATTGTGCAATGCAGGCATTAAGAGGCGAAAGGCAGTGTTTGATATCATTCAGCATCTTATTTATGCAGTTTTCAGTTACATTTTCACTGTGTTCTGCGAGGTTTTCGGAGAACCATGTCTGCATGCCAAGTCCTTTTTATTGAATATTGGAGCCGGGGGGGGATACTGTATGAGACCACCTTGAAACTCCTCCTGGTTCCCATCAGAGTCCCTGGGTACACACCTTTTAGATGGTGTGTGTGCGTTCTGTAGTAAGTACGCTGGTGCAAAATGGCTGCTGCTTTACATTGTTTTTTGTTTTTGTTTTGTTTGTGTGTGTTTTGATGTTTCCTCTTGGCTGAGTTTGCCATCATTCCACTGAGACAGCAGCCAAGAGCGTTTTTCCACCTGTGGCTCAGACGCTTCTTGGGCTGGCTGTCTGGACGCTACATCACAGCTATGATGCAGCCTGGACCGGCTGCTTGGTTGATGCTGCACTGCTGTTGTAGGGCTGCCTGGACCGATAGCGTTTGGCTGCAGGAGCAGCGCTATGCCGCAGCCTAGGAGGCCTCTCGGGCCGACTACCTGAGCAACGCTACATGGCTGCCTGGACTGGTGGTGTTCGGCTGCAGGAAAATGCCCCCTTCGAGGCTTCCTGGGTCGGCCGACTCTTTTTCGGCTAGCTAAGTGACTCTATACTGTGGTCATTGTAATCCATCCTTGCTAGCTGTTGGAATGTGGAGTTGTGTGTGTTGTGTTGATTTATTTATTTTTGATTGCGTGTTTTGTTTATTTTTATTTCTTTGTAAAGCCTCCTTGGGTTCGAGAAAGACTCTATATAAACTGAACTTCCTTTCAA